CAGCACTGAAGTGACCTTTCTGGGGCGCAAGCCTGGGCAGTGTGTATGGAGGTCCTGCTTTGCCCAAACAACAAGACCCCACTCTCGGCCTTGCTGATGTAGTCCAAATGAAAGCAGAGCAATACGTTTGGCACCAGTTTGGCTGCAGGAATTGCCAGAGAGAGGCGTATGAGATACCATTCAAACCGTCTTAGCAGCTCCCCTCCAGATTTGGGTAGGGTTTATTCCTTAGCCTTTTCTTCTCCCGTTTAGGATCAGCGTTTTCCTTCTCCTAGATGGGCTACCTTCCCAGGTTGACAAGCCCCATCTGCCCCTCACTTCCCTCTACTGCATGTGCAGGAACCGCCTTCTTGACCATGGGATCCACTCCTGGTCTCATCCATTCAATCTGGCCCTTCTTTGGAAGTGCATTCAAGTGGCCCTTCTTTGGAAGTGCAGGTTGCATGTGTGGGTAGGAGTGCCAAGGTTGGTCCACCAGCTGCGACTCTAACTAGAGAGATAATCCGTCATCCAGGTAATCCATGATTCAGAGAGATTATACATGCACTTAGTCAAATTAGGTTTGACTACTGTAATTCATCTGCATGGAACCTTTGAAGACAGTTTGGAAACTTCCACAGGCTCAAAATGCTGCTGCCCAGATATAGGTGGCCTATAAAAGAAAGAAGGCTGATCGCCGAAGAATTGATGCTTTTGAATTATGGTGCTGGAGGAGACTCTTGAGAGTCCCATGGACTGCAAGAAGATCAAACGTATCCATTCTTAAGGAAATCAGCCCTGAGTGCTCACGGGAAGGACAGATCCTGAAGCTGAGGCTCCAGTACTTTGGCCACCTCATGAGAAGAGAAGACTCCCTGGAAAAGACCCTGATGTTGGGAAAGATGGGAGGGCACAAGGAGAAGGGGACGACAGAGGACGAGATGGTTGTTCTCAAATCTACCAGCATGAGTTTGACCAAACTGCGGGAGGCAGTGGAAGACAGGAGTGCCTGGCGTGCTCTGGTCCAGGGGGTCACCAAGAGTCGGACACGACTAAACAACAATAACAAATAAAATTAATGGTAAGGATTTGCTGAACTAACAAACTGAACTGGAATACAAAAAAGGGAGGTATGAGGAGGTCCGGGGAAATAAGTGTAGGGAAGATAGGTTTGGAAAATCAATGTCTTTTTAACTGTTTTATTTTGTATGTTTCTTTTTTATTCTTTACTTTTTTGTTATATTTTAAAAACTTTACTCTTTTTTCTGTATTCTGTATTTTTTGTATTTTTTGAAACTTTAATAAATATTATTTAAAAAAAAACAATAACAAAAAAAAGATTTATAAAATAAGTAGTGGAATAGTAATTATTTTGCTTTCATTTCTTTTTCAAGGAAAACAAAGCCTTTCCTTCACCTGGCAGGAGCAATTAAGTGGGGCAGTTAACCGACAGTGGGGCAATTAAGAGAGGTTGCATGTGTGAAATCTCACAACTGCAGTCAACAAAAAGAAATCTCTAAAAATAAGGATCCTCAACCAGGAATCATTTAATGAACACTGGAAGGGATTTTTGCTGAACAGTGCTTGCTTGTGAGCAAGCATTATAGCAGGATCTTGGCCATGGAGAAGAACGCTCTTGGATAATGTAGAACTATATGAGCTATATGAATATGTAGGAACTCTGCTTCCAGCTTGTTGTGGAAAAGCAATGACTTGACTGCATTGTGATCAGATTTGTGGTCGGATTCCTTCCCCCCCACACCCGGTGGCGGCATTTAATGGAATTTTACCAGGAGGAGGAGAAATTCTCCAACAGTTTCTTGGGAGTGGGGTCACCATGAGTAGCCTCCTTTCCCCTTTCCTTTCCTTTTTTTGAATACTCCTGCTCCTCCAGTCTAGCCACCGTTTCCCATGATAGATCACTATCATACCACTTTAAACAGTTATGGCCTCTTCCAAAGAATACAAATTCCCAAAGCTACAGTTCCCAGAGTCCCCTGGGAAGAGGGACTGATTGTTCAGCTACTCTGGGAATTTTAGCTCTGAAAGGGGACTGGGGGGTCTCCTAACAACTTTCAGCAGCCTTAACAAACTATAGTTCCCAGAATTCATTGGGGAAGCTGTGCCTGTTTAAAGTGGTACCGTAGTGCTTCAAAAATATGGCATGAATGTGCATTCCAGGATATTGTGGGTGCGTGGAGAATTGTGGCTGCCACATTTAAAAATGAAAATGGTGGAGAGGAGACTATATGGAGAACATTTTGCAAAGTGGTCTAATTTTGCTAGGGGTGGGTGATAAATGGTGTGTGTGTGTGTGTGTGTGTGGAAATCTCAGAAATAGATTCTATAATTTTTTAGCTCAGCTCTAGGTTATAGTGTGGACGCAGCCTTGGAGATTTCGCACCTCTTTTTCGAAAACTAATTTTACAAAGTACCTTGAACATCACCCAATCTGACAGTCCCTTGCTAGGCAACTGATTTCCCCGCTCTGCAGGTCTAAGGATGGTGAAGGTTTGCCAAGGAAAACAGACGCTGTTGATGCCAGATATCTCGGAGCAGAGTCACTTGTTGCAAAGTTATTTAGAAAGAGGAAATGGGATGATAAGATGATGCAGCTAAGAGGAAGGGAGATCCTGCCCAGTAAATAGCTGCATGGTGCTTCCAGTTTCCATTCCTCACTTTTCTCTGAGGCTGCTTTGCATCAAACCCGTTTACAAGACGCAAGTCCTTCCTTAGAGCAGATTTCCTGAACTGTATTAAGTTTGGGTTTGCAGCAACAAGTCACATAAGGAAGACCGAGAAAAATAATAAAATGAAAGCTGCAAACGCTGTGATATGGCACATATTCTGGACATGTTCTAAATTTAGAAAATTATTGGAATATATAGCAATGGACACTGAGGTATTAACTGGCCACACTTTGCCCAGGGATCCTTTCCATTTACTGCATGGATATGTTAACGAAACTGTACCAATAGGATAGGGAATGGATGCAACAGCTCTTAACTGCTGCCAGAATAGTAATGATTTGTCAGTTGGGGGGGGGGGGGGGTTGAATGAGAACACCATCCAGGAGCGAATGGGTAAGTAAAATCTGGGACACAGCATGGTTAAGTTTACATATCTGGGGAGAACCAGAGAGGGCAGACAACAATAAAAGTCTTCATTGAGAAATGGAGTATTTTTATGATATTACTTGGAACCTTGTGATAGTAATTTAGTATGTTTGATTTTGGTATTGAAGTTTGTACCTATATGTTTAATTCTAGACATTCCCTGCTACTTTTATTTTTGGCTTTAGTTGCTGAGGGGATGGAGGTCAGTGCACAGGAACCAGAATAGCAGGACCCATCACCAGAACCAGAGGGGCTTCTGTCTCTGAACACGGTGGCCTCCGAGGTGTAGGGAGCAGCGGAAGGGACACTCTAGGAGGCTGAGACAGACAAGTGCCCACAGCCCAGATGAGGCTCACTAGTTCTGGAAGGAGGGGTGCGATTCTTCAGCTGGAGTAGACTCCAGGGCAGGACAGGTGAGGGTCACCTGCTTCATCAATCCTAGATGAGCATGCAATCAGCATGCAACGTACAAAAGGGAAGCAGAGATGAGGTGCTGTGTCTGTTCAACTGCCCACATTGAGGGACCTTGGATGCTCCTGGACCTCTATGGGACTGTCCTTTGGGTTTGACTCTGGCCTGTATTCTGACTGCTGGACTTTGGCTGCATTCTTGGATTGACCCTGAACTGTGTTTCCTGAACTGTGGACTTGGCAATACTGACTTGCTACCAGCAGGCCAGGGGTTCAGGGCAATGAATCCCCTCTGTTTTGCTGAGGCTGACAGAGGATTGACTTTGCTTGAGGAGTCGGTGTGCTTTCTAAGTTCTTGTGGTTTCCAAAAGCACTGCTTATAGGTTGGGAGTGGGGTAGCAGTAAAGTGGTAGTGGTGAAGAGAGGGTTAAGCATTCCTGCCACTTCTCTGCTCTGCATCCCATTGGGGAAAGGACTAGAACAGGGGTAGGCAACCTAAGGCCTGGGGGCCAGATGTGGCCCAATTGCCTTCTCAATCCAGCCCACGAACGGTCCAGGAATCAGCCTGTTTTTACATGAGTAGAATGTATCCTTTTATTTAAAATGCATCTCTGGGTTATTTGTGGGGCATAGGAATTTGTTCATTCCTCCCCCTTCAAAATATAGCCCGGCCCCCCACAAGGTTGGAGGGACGGTGGACTGGCCCACAGCTGAAAAAGGTTGTTGACCCCTGGACTAGAAGATGACCCTCTGTGTCCCTAACAACTCTGCAATTCCATGATCTGTTGGGTTCCCATTCCATTCAGTTTCATGCCAGCTGGGGTTGGTCTCTCGACTCCCAAGCCAATTGGCTCAACTGCCTGCCATTTTTTTCCAGGCCTCCAACACTGACACCCAACAGAGTACACAGGGAGTCCAATTCATCTTCCAAGCATTTATTTCTACTGGAAAGGATTTTGCTTTGCAGGCAGAGGGAGGGAAGGGGGGAAAGACCAATTTACGCACACCAGAAGCAGTTTAAATAATCGTAGGAAGAGGAAAGGGGGGGTAATCGGTTTCCCAATCTGCATCACCCACCTTCAACTACAAAATCAAACCTTTACTATGAAAACTCAATTTGGGGGATTTTCGGAGGCAGTTGAGAACGCTGGTACATTTGAAAGTGAAGAAACCGCTCCGAGAGGCTTTCAAAAGCCACAATCCATTTGACCACCACTTCTTCCCTCAACTGCATTACTCGATTAAACAACAGGATTGAACAACCTCTTAATTCAATAATAACAAAAAACAGGAAGGGAATTCTGCAACAGAAAGTTCCTGCCTACCACGCAAAAGGAAGAATGTTTACTGCAGCAGTTCCAAAGCAGATAAGCCACCTTTCTCCCATGTTTGTTTTCCCAAGTTTGCTAAAGCCTCCAGCAAAACTATCCTTAAATCCCTCCGTGTAACATTATTTGGGTCCCTTTCTTTTTTTGCAGCAGGATTAACTGCTGCTTCACAAACAATTCCGTGGGGAAACCTGCCCTGCAGATAGATTGCAGCAAGGAGCTGTGGCTTCCCACTGTGGGCCCATTTCAGGAATATGTAAAACCAACACAAACCAGCCCTTGTGGTTTGCAGCACACTCTGCCAAGGGGGAAGTTTTTGTTGCATGAGAAGCATTTCCAGTACTGTCAGGTGCGTACTGGTTCCTTCTCTTGCTCAACCCATGCAGCTTTTTCCATGTCCCAGAGCTGTTAAATTTCTTTTGCCAAAAAGCACAGGAGGAACCTCTGGCATTGAAGGAGCTGGCCAGTCTGCTGAAGTGCATTAAGACTCGCTCGCTACATTCAGACTTCATGGGTGCTCCAGTCCTTCAAACCTCTCCCCATCCCATGTGCCCGGCTTAATATAGCACTTCCTGCTTTGTCAAAAATCACAGTTTGCCATGGCATAAGAACCAGACACTATGGTTTGTGCAATCCCCCAAACGAGGATGCAAATCAGGATTAGACTGTGGTTTGCAAGCCTGGCTTGGAGGTTTGGTTTGGAGAAACCAGGAAGTTTTCTAACAAGCCAGGCACACACATTCCCAAACTATGGTTTGAAGAATCGGGGAGTGTTGCATCTGAATGAAACCACTGGCTTGCTGCTGGCTTAAAAGGTTGTATAAAAACCCCTCTGTGAATTAACTTCCAGTGCTAAGGCAGACTTAAATGTAAAATGTCTGGGAGCCTGGTTCAGATGTTCAAAAACCACATCCGTGGTGTGTAGCTGGACAAATCTGCAAAGAGAAGGCTACCCATGGATGGAACTGCAGCTTCTGAGACGTAATTCTCAGACTGGAGTGCCTGCAGCTGTTTCTGTGGACAGCTTGAGTCAAGTTTATAATTTCTGTGTGAATTGATGAGTCCCCAAGAACAGGCAAGGCATATCCTATTGAGCTGGGGAATGTCTGAACCAGCCCTAAATCTGCTGAATTTATAAGCATTTTTGACAGATAGTTACCGCTGGAGACAACCAAGGAGAAATCAAGTGCATCAGCTTGAGTCAGCTTTGTGAAACTGTTGTATCACACTCTAGATATTTTTTTGCCTCAAGCCTGAGCCTGTGAACAACGTTGTCCTTGAGGGAGAAGGAATATGGGGGCAGAGCAGCACTGGGATTAAACCTTTCTGGGCTGGAAAAGGAATTGGCTCCAGTAAGGGGGGTGGCGGTTTCCAGTCAGGGCTTTCATTGCCACATATCCCCGTTCTCGCCGTTCTCGTGGAACTTGTGCAGGTGGTCGGCATATCTGAAAGAGATGGAAGCAACTGGATCAGCACACCTTGGTATGAATCTATATTGTGCCCCATAAAATGCAGAGTGACAAAAAGCCAAGCCCCTGACCCTGACAGGCTGACCATATGAGGGGCAACGGCAGGAGAGGATGGCAAGGGAAGCAGTGCAAGGTCAAGCCTTCTCCAGGACGACAGCATCCGGCACCAGGCCCCTTCTGCCCCACACAGGGAGAGCAGAATCATATCACTTTAAATAATTTTGGGAAGCGTCGTTTAAGGATACTGAGAGTAGACAGGAGACCCCTCTCTTCCTCTCGCAGAGCTACAGCTCCCAAAGTTCCCTGGCAAGAGGAGTTGCTTCTAAACCACTCCGGGAATTCGCCCCTTCTTCCCTGGCAGGGAGGAGAGGGGGCAGCATTTTGTGGTTCGCCTCAGGTGCCAAAATGTCTTGAACCGGCCCTGCCCTAGGGGGTTGTTCATATGTAGATGACCAAAGTTCAACATATGGATGTGGGTTGGTGGGGGGAGCACCGAGACGTGGGACAGGAAGTGTGCCCGCCCCCGGACCTGCTTCAAACCGCAAGCGACGGATTGGCTCAACTGACTCGACACCTGCAGCCCTGATTTTCACATTTGCAGAGTGAAAGGCATGTTTGCAGAAGTTGAAGAAGCATCTACGTGGTAGACTGAAGGAGAGAACTGGGAAGGCGGCTCCTCCGATACCTACTTCTTTGCACAGAAGGCGGCACAGTCTCTGCCCACGCTCTCGCTCCAAGCCGTTTTGTAGAGAACCTGAGAAAGTAAAGGCAGACTGTTAATTGTTCAGCTGAGAGTGGGAACCCCCACCCCACAATGACCCTCTTTCCTCAGGTTCCCCCTGCAACATCCTTCCTGCGTCAACAGAGATTCAGGCTTTGAGGTCCAAGCAAGTGGGTGCCTGGGGGTTTTGGGTTCCCAGTCAACCGATGGTACGCAAGCCACTCCGAGAGCCTTTTCTGGCTGGGGAGCGGGGTACAAATGCTCTAAAACAAATAAAGCAACTTAGGGGCACCAGGTTTGTCAAGGCTGAACTACAGACTCCTTATTTCCAAAGGCAGGAGGATATCAGAGAGAGAGAGAGAGCAAGCCACAGACTTACCAGGAAAACAAGGCAATGCAAGAAGAGAGTGTAGAAAAAGGCAATTGTGCGGGCCGTCTTGTTGGAGAGGATGAATCTTCCCTGCAGGTGCACCAAAAGAAGACAGGGTTTGGCATAAATACTGCTTTCAGAAAAACCAATAAATACAAAATTCTGCCGATGAAAAACAAAATGTATGCCACCCTGTACAAATTAGGCAAGTTCATATATTATTCTTATTCATAGTTATTAAATTTTTATACCGCCCTTCATCTGAAGATCACAGGGTGGTTTACAATATAACAATACATACCATCGTACCAAACGGAAACAATGCCTCTTCCTACCATACCATAGACTGTTGAATTAGCCAGAGGCCTGGGAGAAGAGGAATGTTTCTGCCTGGCACCTGAAGTTATGTAAGGTGCCAGGCGAGCCTTCCTGAGGAGAGCATTCCACAAGTGAGGAGCCACCACCTAAAAGGCCTATTCTTTTGTCTGTCCTGACTCTCCCCTGCTCAGATCCTTGGCTAGCACTGCTGGGTTCTAATATTATGAGGTAGAGAAAACATCTCTACTTTCTCTGCACCATGCATAACTACTGCCTTTACCTCAAACATGTCGCCTCCCTACCTTACTAGCCTATTTTTTAGGCAAAAAAGCCTCATATTTTGAAATCTTTCCACATAAGGGAGTTGCTCCATCCACTTGATCATTTCGCTTGCCCTTTTCTGAAACTTTCTCCCAACTTTTTTTTGAAGCGAAGTGACTAGGACTGCACACAGCATTCCAAGCATGGCTGCACACTATAGGTTCGCACCAAGTTATTAAGAAAGGGATTGCAGGCTGTGGAGAGGTGCTGCCAGTCAGAGCAGGCGGCAGTAAGCTAAGTGGACCAGTGGGTTGACTCAGGGAAAAGCGGCTTTGTGTATCCATGTATGAAGCAGGTCACAGCTGGTGCAAACTCTGCTGGCAACCAGCCCAGACCTCTCCGAACATCTGTTTCCCTCCTCTGGGTATTTCCAACACAACATGGGCTGCCAGTTCTGTCCAAACTGTGGGACAGGATTGCCTTCAGAGGCAAATATGATCTTCCTGGCATGCCAGGCCTGGTGACATCAGTACACAAGGACGGCAGGGCAACTGGTGACGGCGCACACCTGCTGGGCCTCGCGTTTCAGTACAGACACACACGAACATCAGCTGTGAAACAAGGGCTTGTCGTTCCTGGCCAGGCCAGGCTGGTCCCAGTGACCCACGGCCTTCTCTTCTCCATGCATGAGGAATGCACACTTGCTAACAAGCGGGATCAAATTGACTTTATATAAACCAGTGATGTAGCTGCCTCTGGAAAACCACGTCCCATTCTGGTTGCCTTGTCTGAAAGTTGTCAGGAGACCCTCCCTATTCCCCTTAAGGTAAAGGTACCCCTGATCGTTAGGTCCAGTCACAGACGACTCTGGGGTTGCAGCACTCATCTTTCTCTATAGGCCGAGGGAGCCGGTGTTTGTCCGCAGACAGCTTCTGGGTCATGTGGCCAGCATGACAAAGCCGCTTCTGGCAAACCAGAGCAGCGCACGGAAATGCCGTTTACCTTCCCGCCGGAGTGGTACCTATTTATCTAATTGCACTTTGATGTGCTTTCAAACTGCTAGGTGGGCAGGAGCAGGGACCGAGCAACGGGAGCTCACCCCGTAGCGGGGATTCGAACCGCCAACCTTCTGATCAGCAAGCCCCAGGCTCTGTGGTTTAGACCACAGCGCCACCCATGTCCCCTATTCCCCTTACCAAGTGACAATTCCCAGACAAATTCCTTTTCCCTGGGAACTTTTGAGAATTGTAGCTCTGTGAGGGGAATAGAGGCGTCTCCTAACAACTCTGAGCATCCCTAACAAACTACAGCTCCCATCATTCTTTGGGGCGAAGTCATAACTGTTTAAAGCGGTATCACACTGCTTTCAATGTCTGGTGTGAATGTGGCCTAGGTCAGTGTTCCTCCACATCAGATGGGAGAGGACAAAGCATCAGTGCTTGCCTTACCATGCTAAGAGTTGCCTTATCCCACGGGCTGAGACTCAGATACTTCCTCTGGCGCTCCTGAGTACAAACGAACACAAAGCAGAGATGGAAAAGTGAAAGGAAAAACTGAAATCGGCCATGCCTCACCTGCAATGCCAACATCAGCCCATGATCTAACAAGCCCACTTAAATTTACCCAGTGCTTAAATGTGAACAGACTCGAGGTCAAGATGTTATTCTCCAAGCTTAGTTTGCCGTCTGTAAAATGGGCCCACTAATGCCTGCCTGCCAGCCGGGCATAGGGGCATCACCAGGGTGGCTGAGATTGCTGCTGTAGGAACACCGCATACCCCTAGAAGCGCTCTTGCAGTAATTAAAGTTAGTAATAATAGTAGTAACAACAATAACAATTTTATTCTTTACACCCCACCCATCTGGCAGGGTTGCCCCAGATAAACAAGATGTAGCTAAACAAGATGTAATGGGGGGGAAATTAAAACAGTGGTGGAGCACTGGTTGAAGGTGGCTGATAGCCATCACCTAGGAAATGTAGTACAGTCGTACCTTGGAATTTGAATGACTTAGTTGCCGAACATTTTGGCTCCCGAACAATTGAAAACCAGAAGTGATTGTTCTGGTTTTTGAACATTCTTTTGGAAGCCGAACGTCTGGTGGGGCTTCCACGGCTTCCGATTGGCTGCAGGAGCTTCCTGCAGCCAATCAGAAGCCACACCTTGGAGGTCAAACGTTTTGGAAGTTGAACGGACTTCCGGAACGGATTCAGTTCGACTTCCAAGGTACGTCTGTATTTCTAAGCCCTTCTTTCCCTTCCCTCCCGCAGCTCCATACGAGAGCCTCTCTTACCTTCCTGCTGAAGGAGGCGAAGGGGTCCAGGCGCTCTTCATACTGGGTGGAGTAGCGGAGCTCAGTGTCGTCACTGCCACTGCCCTAGAAGAGACCCAAACACAGAAGTCAGGGTGAGGCTGTGGATGCGTGTTTGCTCCCAGATGTGTGGAAGCAGTCGTCACAAAGCTACTGCCTCACTTTGAATGCCATGGTTCTTCCAGAGCTGTTGCTCAGCAGCCGAGCAACTGCTCTGCATGCAGAGAAAGTCCCAGGCTCAATCCTTCTCTGGAGGAAGCAGAAAGTTAGTGCAGATTGGAGAGGAGGGGACATTTAGCAACCTAAGCGAGCAAGTAGGTGCATGTCTTTGTGCACGACAGAGCAGGAGGGAGATTCAAGCTTCACTGCCTGCCCCAAATCAAAGCATCTAGGGCATGGGTAGGAAAACTAAGGCCCGGGGGCCAGATCCGGCCCAATCGCCTTCTAAATCCGGCCCGCGGATGGGCCAGGAATCAGTGTGTTTTTACATGAGTAAAATGTGTCCCTTTATTTAAAATGCATCTCTGAGTTATTTGTGGGGCCTGCCTGGTATTTTTACATGAATAGAATGTGTGTTTTTATTTAAAATGCATCTCTGGGTTATTTGTGGGGCATAGGAATTTGTTCATTTCCCCCAAAAAAATATAGTCCGGCCCCCCACAAGGTCTGAGGGACAGTGGACCGGCCCCCTGCTGAAAAAGTTTGCTGACCCCTGATCTAGGGCCTCCAGTCCCCAAAGGGCAAGCAAACATTCCCCAGTGTGTCACCAAGAAACTAGTGTGGTTCCTGCTAACTAGGCCACCTTTACAGTTCTCTATTTCAAGGGCCATCAGAGGAAATCACTCTATTTGAAGGCATCCTGTGTTTCAGGGATGGGCAACCTGTGCCCCCCCTGATGTTGTTGGACTACAAATCACACTGCCCCTGACTACTGGTCCAGGCAGGCTGGGGCCGATGCGAGTTGGGAGTCCAAGAATGTCTGGAGGGCCATTGGCTCCCAGTTCAGAATCTTAAAGAGCCTTCTTAAAGAGCCGTAAGAAGGGAGTACCGGCAGGAGGGGCCTTGCAGTTGCCCATCAACAGGGAACGGCTGGGCAGCAGACAGAGAAAACACACAGCTCATCTGGTGCAGCACATTCCTCCCCACTAGGGTGAATGCACTGTAAAGGTAAAGGTAAAGATAAAGGGACCCCTGACCATTAGGTCCAGTTGCGGCCGACTCTGGGGTTGCGGCGCTCATCTCGCTTTATTGGCCGAGGGAGCCGGCGTCCAGCTTCTGGGTCATGTGGCCAGCATGACTAAGCCGCTTCTGGCGAACCAGAGCAGCGCACGGAAACGCCATTTACCTTCCCGTTGGAGTGGTACCTATTTATCTACTTGCACTTTGACGTGCTTTCGAACTGCTAGGTTGGCAGGAGCAGGGACCGAGCAACGGGAGCTCACCCCATCGCGGGGGTTCGAACTGCCGACCTTCTGATCGGCAAGTTCTAGGCTCTGTGGTTTAACCCACAGTGCCACCTGTGTCCCTGAATGCACTGTATTTCTGTTTAAATTAAATTATTTGTAATTCCACACCTATTTATATCAATTAGCCTGTGTGATCTTTATGCATATGTTTGCCCTTTCTGTGGTGATGCTCTCCTCTGTGTGTGAGATATGAGATGAGTTTTGGGCCACCCTCCTTTTGATGGGTGGGATGCTGAGAAGCACACCTGGAGCAGAGCCAATGGCGAGAGATGTCATGCAATAAACAGGGCGGTGCTGGAAAACACTGAAGCAAAGCGCTTTGCTCTGCCCTTCTCTTCTCAAGTTGGCACATGCTCTCTCAGCAAGCAGATTCCCTGAAGCCACTGGGTTACTTGGGAAAGGGAAGAGCTCTCTCTCCTGGACGTGTGGAGGACCAGCGCTGCATGAGGAAAGCCGAAGAACTTTGCTCTTGCAAAACATTAAAAGGTTGTGCAAACGGGTTGGGGCTGGGAAAGTGGCCTCCAAGCCAACTAAATTACTTTAATTTGTGATTATATACTACCCTGTCTCTGAAAAGGTCATGCATGTGGGAACCCGCTGGCACCATAGCAAAAAAGGGAAAGCTAACCAAAAGAAAATTCCTCCACCTGCCTTCTTCACCTTGGTATCAGCACTGGGTGCAGTGGAAGCTGATCTAGAGAATGAAAAGCACCCACTGTTTCCCGGGGTGTGTGTGTGCAAAATGGCTCCACAGGATTCCATGACCAGATCCTGCCATTCCCTGGTTGGGGGCCAGTTCATTCAACACATTAATGCACTGCCAGCCAAGGTGTGCTGAATCAGTGGCGCAAGGACAGGCCTTGTGTGAACTGCTGCTACGCTGAAGCCGGCTGTCAAAGTAATTGTGAAAAACCGCTTTGCAAACCATCCAAGTGAGGCCGCCTCTTCCCTGGAACCTTTCCCAAGGAGATTCACTTAGACATCACCAAAAAAGAGAAAAGGGTGTGTGTGTGTGTAGATTTACAGTAGATTTGCATATGCAAATTTATACATACAGGTGCAAGTGCAGAAATAATTCCTGTAATCTAAATAGAAAAACAATATGTCTCACCCTAGTGTGGGAGAAAGTAGCAGGTGTATATAACTGAAAAGGATATTTCCCTGCAAATATAAGATTATTTCGTACAGTTGCATTGATCATTTCTATTACTCTCTGCCAAAAATTTACCAATGTAGGACATTGTAAGAACATATGTTTTAAAGAAGCATTGTCCCTATTACATCTCCAGCGGCTAGATGACTTAAGACAGCCCTTTCATAAACAATTGTAATGCCATTCTTGACAGGGCAGCCCACTGACCCGTCCGGGATAGCTTTGCAGGAATTTAATCTTCTCATACAGCTTGATGTTGTCGGCTCTCAGGTTGTCCAGCTCGCTTTGGAGGGCCTGCATTGTATGCTGCATCATCCGGTTCTCCTGCCAGAACAGAGAAAGAAAAGGGTCAGAATCAGGCCTGTCTGAGCTCCGGATAAAAGGCACCAGCTCTGCACGGAGGTGGAAGCTTCCATAGTATAACAACGTGAGCGCTCACTTTTTGCATAGCTCTTCCTCATTTATTTATTAAATTTATGTCCTGCCCCCTCCTTCCCGAAAAGAGCCAAGGGCAGTAAACATAGCCTAATAATAATAATAATAATAATAATATCAACCACCTGCCCTGTTCAGAGGCAGGCCTGTGTTTCTGGAAATACGCAAGTCCCACCCTCGGAAAACTCGCTATGAATGCATTTGCTTATATTCAGAAAAGTATTCATATACTGCCCTCTCATGAACTATCAGGGCAGCGCACAGCAATATGAAAACATCAAAAGCAGTGCAGAACAATCATCATGCTGACTGGCAAGATAAGGTTTTCAAGAGACACAGTCCGATGGATACTTCCCCATGGCAGGGTCCCAGAGAGACTTGTTTGATCAGATCTCCGTTTTCATTTCCACTGCCTTGTGCTTGGCCAGGGTAGCCTTTTCAAGATGGTGGCCCAGCTGCTGCGATGACCCCTGGCTGCACGGCCCAAGAACCGGCAGGGCCTGCGGGGCCAGCCCAAGCCCCTGCTGCCCTCCAGGGATCCTTACCGCTTCTAACTCGTGGTTGCGTGCTCGGAAGCGCTCCCTCTGGCTGGAGATGATGGAGAGGAGGGAGTCCATCTGGCCCTCTGGAATCGGGGTGCTTGCTGATGGTGGGTAGCCTAGGAAACAGGTCGGATTACAGGAAAAACGTTGAGACCCACAGCACTCCTGTGGGCTTATACCAAGGTCATTCACTCCAGTCAGTAAATGGCAATGTACATCTCTTTGAACTCTCTTGCTTTCTTTTATTCTTTGCTTTTCACCAACAATGATTCCCCCCCCAAACTCTGCCATTTTTCATCATAACTTAGCTGGCCATTCCCTACCGGCTTTTCCCTCCCCCTGCTTTTTTTTTGGGGGGGGGGGAGAAACAGCCCTTAGAGAACCTACGAGGGTTTCTGCTCTCCTACCTCACCTGATTAAAACATAAGAAAGCATCACTGCCTCCTGCTGAGGTCACCAAAAGGACTCTGGTAGTTGGTGGCTGAGCCAGGCAGCAAAACGCTTCCTACAGAAGAGCAATCTCACCCACAGGCCTGGGCAAACAGAGTCTCCATCTGCTGGCTAATTGCTTACCATAGAAAAGCGCTGTTGCCTCTTTGATGGGCTCAGGGATGTTCTCAAGGTTTTGAATGGCGGCACCCTTTAGGAAGGAAAGAGAAAAGGAGAATATGGATGCAGGAACGACATGGGAGAGTTTGCTCTTCTTTCCATTCACGACAAGATACTCATAGGAGCTGAGATGCTATTGCTGATATTATAGCACCTCAGCTAATTGGGATCTCCTGGTGGATTATTTACACCTCCTGATTTAACAGCAAGAACTAAATTAGCATCCTTGATCTGTAATAACTAAAGTGTGGATTTGAACTTGTATACGCAGCTCATCGCGGGGCATGGCTTCATTGGGTGCAGAGGGTAACTAACTCCATGCTCCCAGCCACCATTTTGCATCTGGCTCCTCCTACTGCCTGCCATTTTGAACTTGGCTCCCACTGGGCCACCTATGGGTTCAAGTAAGACATGTCCTGAAGACGTCCTATGCCTTGCTTTGAACAACCAGGTTTCAGGAAGCATGGGATAATTTTGCATAGAGTGGTTTGTATTTGAAATGGGTAGTTTTGCCATACAATATGCCATCTTTGTGTGTGTGTGTGTGTGTGTGTGTGTGTGTGTGTATTACATCCATTACGCATTCAATTTATGCGTAATGAATTATTATGCAGAACGAAACAACAGGGCAGGTTGGGAACTAGCTGAAAGCCAAACGAGACAAGCCAGCTGGGAACGGCAAGGCTGGGTCGAAAAAGCATTTCAGGAAAACGCACTGTAAACTTTATTATGGGAAATCGCGTTGGCGAGAGACGGGACTCCACAGCGGCAGCTGGCATCGCACTGTTATTATAATGCGTATGAAACACTTTTTCTTTACTAATGTAGCTGAGTCCTGAGAAGAATGTTTCACAGGAGGGAAAATAGCAGGGGTCCACCTGCCCAGTCCAAATCAAGGCCCAAGGTGCAGAGGGGCTTTAAAGCTTTGCACCCCACTGAGGTCCCTTTCTGGAATGCCCCCCGCCCCCGCCCCCTGTTCTATGCATAGGAAGTAAAGCTCCCATTTGCACTACTGGAAACTTTTCTCCCAATACAAACAGGAGGCATACGGAGCTGCTGATAGGGTAGGAAACACAGGGGGATGCAAATATTTAAAGCACTTCTCTCTACCCTGGTTCCCAGTCTAGTTCACTCGCTGCAGCGCAGCTATTCGGAGGCATTTTTTCCACTTGTGATTCCCAGCAGCTAGCCATGGGGGCCAGTAGCCATTCACATCAATGGGGAATTCTCCACAGAGGAGAAGACTAATGGTATGAATGGGTCTCATCAGGCTTGGCCCCTGGTGGCTGACTTTGCTGCAAGTGGGGGGCAGCAAATGGTTAAAGGGGACTCACCTCTGCGTCAGGGCGGCGCATTGCAGACATGGACTGAATGGTGCTGAGGTCATGCTCCAGTTTTGCAATCAGTTCTTTCTGGTCGGCAACTGTGGAGACGGCTTCGGTGAACTGGATCTGCAAGTCAGCACAGCGCCCTGTGGGGTGGGGGGACAAGGCATGGTGCATTAAATAGGGACAAGTAACAATAGAAAAATAATTGGGATCTCTCACACCTTGCGGTGGCAAGTCCGTGTTATTATTATTTTTGGAAGGTTATTTCCATAAATACAAAGGAAGACAAGAAACGGGAGGGTGAGATTTAATAGATGTTGAGAGCCAGTGAGGTTGTAGTGGTTAGTGTCGGACTAAGATCTGACAGACTAGGTTTCAAATCCACATTTGGCCATGACCTTGAGTGCCTGTCACGGCCTCTCAACCTGACCCACCTCAAAGGGCTGTTGTGGAGATTAAATGAGAGGAGGGAGAACTATATATGCTACCTTGAGCTCCTTGGAGAAAAATTGGGATATAAATGCAATTAACAGCAACAATAACAAAAATAGGGGCAAACTACAGTAAATATAAGTGATAACATGGACTTCTTGGGATCCCAGTGGACAACCACACACTTCAGATGGTCTGGCTTTCAGACATCTTTGAGATGCAGCAAGCAAAACAAAACCTTTTTTAAAATAGAAATTAAGTAGTGTGTTCATGCAAGTGCACAATGAGCTATACTTAAACAGCTAAAGCACCATTCTCGGTGGGATATTGCAAACAATAGAGAGCTAATTTTTCAGGCATGCCTCTCCTTACTGCTAAATTGTTTTGCTCCACATCTTCAGAGGGCAAAGATTCCCCAGATCCATGGAGATAGATAGATCGATACATAGATCGATAGATAGATAGATTGATTGATTGACAGATAGATGATAGATATTGCAACAATCCACATTATAAATAGGATTGCCTAGTACAGAACCAAGCCACTAGAGGTCACAGTTTCATAAGAAATACTGGTATACAACCTTTTTTTAAAAAACAAAAACAAACCCACAGTGGCTTTCAGATTTTCAAGTATGGAATCTTGAGGACCAGAAGACTCTTGTGGGCCTTAACCTCACTCTTTTTCCATGTGGACTCAGCTGCGACAACCCCCCTGCATGCTGCACAGGGTTCTAGGACATGTTCTAGGTGGGGCACTAGCAAAGTCTCCTGGCCCTTCCTTTCACAATCTGAGCGCATTTCTTAGAACATGCCCTTCCTGTGGCTGAGCACTGCCGGGGCAGCCTGGTGACAGTGGGCAATGCTCATCTGCCTGTACCAAGCATGAGAAGTGGCGCCAAATGGTTGGCAATGTCGGGCACCTGCTGAAACCCACATCCCTGCAGGGGGCCCCTTGTTGACCCCGGTCCCTGCTCCTATGCCCTCTTGCTGGAGCTGTTAGGTGCTCCCTTGCCCCCTCTGGGCAGGTGAGGTGTGGCAAGGCAGAGAAGCATCCTTCACTTGCCTTGCGCAATTGGTCAGCTTATTTTTTGTGTTGCTGGTTTTCCAAGCTCTGCTTAGGATCTCTCTTCTTAAGGAGACAGGCTAAGCCATGCAGGCTCCAGTTTCCCCCGCTCCCCCCACCCAAAAAAAAGCATCACAGCCTGCTGAGACCAAAGTACAAAGATACAGTGCAGCTCCCAAGGGAAAATAAAGTATTATACAAAGATTTCCTTTACAAATAATAGATTTTTTAAAATAAAAAAGTACTCTCCATCTATGACTTCCATCATACTTGAGAATAAAGGTTCCATATAGTCTTAAACGAGCCAGAGCTTTGCATATACTGATGGCACCAAGTGGCTGTGTGCCTCAATCCTTGTGTATCTCTTTCCCCTGGCTTTTGACACCCGAGAAGTTTCCAAGCATGAGATTGCCTTATCCCACTCGACGGCTTTGATTCAACATCGAGCAGGCACTTTCTGTTTTTAGTTTATTGCTGATTTTAATTTTTTTAAAAAATAGTTGCTTTCATCAGTTTTTAATCTGTAATTTTATTGTTTCGTTCTTTTTATAAACTGCTTTGAGGGTTGTTGGTTTTTTTAAAAAAAACAATCAAGTGGTGTATAAATATTATGAATAGAATAATTAAATAAAACGTGTGGTTTTATGACCCACTTGAGTCTTGTGACTGACATAACTATTTTTAAAACTGAGTTTTAAATTGCCATAACCTGCTCTAGGACCTGCTGGTGAAGGGGAGACAACAACAACAACAACAACAACCAACAACAGATCAAATAGCCTTCCTTTGGCACCAGCTCTGTCCTCTTTTTCTTGAGATTTTTGACTGGACTGAGTGGAAATGCCTTCACCCTCTGCAACTTTTGCAAGTGGTGAAATGGGGGTGGGGGTGGTATTTTTGTGAATTTACCAGCAGCAGTGCTCATGGCAGCTGCCATTCCTTCCCACACAAGCCCCTCAGACTACCCCCCCCCCAAAAGAGACCCTAATAGCTTTAGAGAAAATATGGCTCAGCTGTGATTTTCGACCCCAAGTTAAAGCAGTTTTGTTTTGGGATATCTGAGACTGATTCTGCTTGTTGCAGAACCACGGACTGGCTGGAGGCAGAGGAATGGTGGGAGGCCCCAGCTGGGGAACCCCAAAGGGAAGAAGGCTCAGAGCTGGGGGGCTGGTGGTGGGACGATGATGAGCAGCCAGAGGGAGAAGACTGGTAGGAGGAGGTGTCTGAAGCTGAAGGGGGAAGAGGGTTTAGTGAGCAGGAAGCGTCTGGGGCAGAGACTCAGGGGTAGAAGCGAAAGCTGGAGAGGAGGGCGGCCAAGAGGCAGAGGGGAGGCTGGCTGCTGAAGAAGCCAGGGGGTCTCCCCCTCCTGCTGCCACCAGCTTCTCTCCCCTGCTGGCCTCCCCGAGCTTAGAAGAGGGGGATGATGAGGGCAAAGCAAAGAGAGACAAGACAATGGAGTCTTAGGCTGCTGGAGAAGGACCTGAGGGAGCAGAACCCTTAGAGTGGCAGGAAGGCAGGGACCTTCTGTCCTCGCAACTCCCTCATTGGGGCAAGACCTACTGGGAAGAGTTGCTGGGATCACTAGGCCTGCGCTGTTTGGGTTTCTTTGAATAACGTGTTATCTTCAGACAGAGGGCCTTCTTGGTAGTGGCGCCCACCCTGTGGAACACCCTCCCTTCAGATGTGAAGGAAATAAGCAGCTATCTTATCTTTAAAAGACATCTGAAGGCAGCCCTGTTTAGGGAAGTTTTTAATATTTAATGTGGTATTGTTTTTAACACTCGATTGGAAGCCACCCAGAGTGGCTGGGGAAACTCAGCCAGATGGACGGGGTATAAATAATAAATAATAAATTATTATTATTATTATTCACTGACGTTGGGTGTTTTATTGCTGACCTGTCCCAGACTCCAGCTCCTGACACACAGTCTGCCCAGTTGTGTTCCCCTTTCCCGCCCCCTGCCACTAACTCTGTGTGTGTGCTTTAACTGTTTATTGTATGTGCATCTGTACGTATTTTAAATGCTGGTCATGCGAGTTGCTGATGTGGGGATAGGCACTTCTGCGCATGCTTATTCAGGAGCCCCACCTGTTACATATTCAGTGGGTCTTAAGTCCTGAATAGGGCTGCACCCTCAATTCCTCTCCCACCTCTCTCCAAAGGGTCGAACATAATATATCCATTTCTAATCCCACCCCAACTGTCCTCTGAGCAGGTCTAGCCCTCCTTTTTTCTGTTTGCCCCTAGAATAATAGAATTTAGGAACATAGGGTGCTGCTTTACGGAGTCGGACCATTAAATCTCAACCTGGGTCCCCCACCGAGTTATCCCAAGGGGTTTGTAGCTCTCCTCTAACCAGCACGTAAAGGGATTTCCTGCTTTCCTGCCTTGGGGCCTTAGCAGAGCCTGGACGGAACAGAGTCACTTTTGGGTGTCTCCTTTGCTTGGGGTGTTTTTTATGTGGCACACTACATAGGGATTACTGGTAGGAGGCGGAATACACAGCATGGTGGCTTGAAGGCCCTTCTTTTGATTTAAGAACAGAAGATTTAAGGCCCATGGCCCATCTGGTCTAACATTCTGATCTCTCAGTGGCCAACCTCCCATTTAAAATTCCTCCCATCAGATGTCAAGGAGATAACTAACTACATAATCTTTAGAAGACACCTGAAGGCACCCCTGTATGGGGAAGGTTTTTTTTTTTAAAAAAAAGTTTAATGTTTTATTGTTTTAATGTATTTTGGAAGCCGCCCAGAGTGGCTGGGGCAACCTAGTCAAATGGGTGAGGTATTATTAGTAGCAGTATTATGATTAAACCTGTGGGAAACCAGCAAGCAGGATTCAAGCACAAGAGACCTCCTCCCTCCTGTGGTTTCTGGCAATTCACAAGCACAGCTGCCTCCAACTTCAGAGGATGCGCGCGGCCATCAGAAGCCCTCTCCTTCATGAATTTGTCCAATTCTCTTTTAAAGCCATCCAAATTGGAGGCCATCGCTGCCTCCTGAGGGAAGGAGGTCCATGGTTTAACTATGCACTTTCTTTTACCCATCTGGAATCTTCTGATGGATTTTAGCCGGCTCTATGCCAAGGACTGTTGGCAGACTTTCTTTTTATTTTATTGCCTTTTTATCATCTCACTTTTTTCTCAATGGAGTTCAAGGTGGTGTACACGGTTCTCCCTCTCCACAATAAACTTGTGGGCATGGCTTAGTGGGGATTTGAACCCTGGTCTCCCACTCTTAATCACTACTCCAAACTGGTTGTGTTCAGGTTCCTTAGTTTTGGCATTATTTTAAATTACTTCCGGTTCTTTATTGGGACAAATTGTGTGGATGGGCTTGCCTTATTCTTTGGTTAGTCCTTTTCCCCTGGTTTAGGTTGTTTTTGTGGGGCTTGGGGTGGGGAAGAGCTTTGGGGGCTGTTTGTTGCTCAGAGTAGAATCAGCTGCTTATGCTCACTGCTTATGCTCACTAGCTTATAAAAAAGAAAATTTAAAAAAATTATAAATAAGATAGAATCAAATTAATTGATATACAAATGGCTTTACTTAAATTTCTGCAAGTAAACTCCACTCAAGTATACAATTGATAGTACTGATTCTATGTGTAGGAATATATTAGTGGCAATTAAAACTTGGATTTCAGTTCTCTTGGGAATTATTTCAATGGCATGCACTTTGAAATAAAATAAAAAAATGTATTTAGTTCAGTGATTGATTAGCTGGGTTGTTGATTGTTGGTTATACGGGGGGGATAAAGGAATGAATTTATAAATAATTTTTTATCTTTCATACCTTTTTGGATTGATTAATTGGGTTTTCAGTGGGTATACTGAGGAAATAAATGAATTTATATTTATGAATGAATGAATGAATGAATGAATGTATACTTAATACCTTTTGGAATTAATCACTTGGGTGGTTGAATGGTGGTGGGCTAACAGGGGAGATGAATTTTTGCTGCCTTCTTTGATTTTTGGCACTTTTGCAAATTTATTTGCAGAGGGCAAGGGGAGGGCAAAATGGGGTGCCGTACAATATGAGGAAGAGTGGATACGGAAGATATGGACAACAGCAAATATACTCCAGTGGACCCCCCCCAGGCACCTACGGATCCAAGCTGCTATCTGTGTGTGTGTGTGTGTGTGTGTGCGCGCGCACCAGGTAGGGGGAACCTCCCCCCCCGATATTGCCGAACTACAACTTCCGTCACCCCAGACCACACTTGCTGGTGCTGATGGGAGTTGTTGTTAATAATAATAATAATAATAATAATAATAATAATTCAATTTGTATACCATCCTATACCTGCAGGTCTCAGGCCGGTTACAACACAAAACCGCAATATAAAAACACGAAATTCATGACAGAAATAATCCCAATACATTTTAAAAGGGCACTGCATGTCAATCAGCCAAACATCTGGTTGAAAAGGAAGCTTTCACCTGGCGCCTAAAGGTGTATAATGAAGGTGCCTTGTAAACCTCCCTGGGGAGAGCATTCCACAAATGGGGAGCCACTGCAGAGAAGGCCCTGTTCTTGTGTTGACACCCTCCATACCTTTGGCAGAGGAGGCACACAAAAGAGCTGTAGTTGTGCAACATTGGGAGAATCAAGTGTTTCCCCACCTATGGAAAAACACAGATTCCACCCCCCCTTTCTATTTAAAAATGAGCAACTGTGAATGATGGCTAGATAGATCTTGCGCCGAAAAGGCTGCCATCTTCTCCCAATAAACACGCAATCGTCACACCCAACATATTTAACTCCCAGACGAGCAAAAACGGAACCCCCGTCAAAATGTTTGCTGCTTTTGAGTCCAGTCTGCCTGAAGAAAGACAACCTACACGTCGTTATGTTTGTATAAAAGATATTTACTTCAATTATCACACCTAGGGTGCTAGTGAATTATAATAATACATCATGTGAGTTTCGTACAGTGATATTGCTTCTCCATATCATATAGGGACTGTTGTACAGTGCTGAGAACAGAACATTGTATGGCGGGCCCAAGACAGGAAGGAAATGCCGCCCCCCAACGGAGGGAGGCCCCCCCACTCCGTCACAGCCGGCCATATAAAACTTTTTTTTTCTTTAATAAACTTCTGAACAAGAAATAAAATGTTACAAAAGATGAAATCACAGCAACACAACGTGGGGCTTCTCAAAGCTACTTGTACAAAAAAAAAAAAAGACACTTTTTTTGGTCAATTGGGTCTTTGTGAGGATATTTCATTAAAATCTGTGATTGTGAATATAAGAAATGAGCGTCTAAAAACATCTAAGACTTAGTGCGTTACAGGAAAATAATAATAATAATAATATAATATTTATATATATATATATAAAATACTGCTAAAAATGTCGGACACCACAAGTACACGGGGGTAAAATGGAGCTTATCATCAATTTTTTTTTAAAAAAAGAAAATATTCTCAGGAAAAAAAATACACCTTTTTTTTTGTTTCGAGTTCATTTTGTGCTGTGTTAGTAGTCAGGGCAAGTCCAAAGGTTAGCCCGATAAAATGGCAAGTAGTTATTGCACAAATGCAAAAAATAAAAACAAAAACAAAAAATAAAATCTTCAGAGCGCATGACCCGCTGGGAAGGTCTCCTGTGCAAGTCCCCAGGTTTCAATGGGACGTGCACACAAGCCTCTTGGGGCGGATCGTGGCCTTGACTTAAAATTATATATATATATATATGTGAAAAGGGACTTCGGGGAAGCAAACAAACAAACAAAAAATTAGGTTGCCATTTACTTTGGATTTAAAACGTCCAAATTCGCACACATGACATTCTCAGAGTGTTGTCCACAGAGCAGAACACACAGTGCCTTTTGGGCAGGGAGGGGTGGGGTTGGGGGGAGAGCGGCAGAAAACGGCTTTCAACATTGGAAATGCATAGACTATTTGGAGAAGAAAGAATAACAATTTAAGGGGGGGGGAACGACACACCTTTACCAAAAGCTCATTATTTTAAAAGTAGACCTTCCTTACCCCACCCATCACCAGTCCAAACTAGCGCAAGAAAATAAAAAATAAAAAAGGAAGGGGGAAGTGGTTGGGTTTGGCTGGGGACACGATCCACCAGGACCTCCTCCTTGCTCTCCAGAAGTTTACCAGACATGTTCCCACACGACTCCTGTTCATTTCGATCCTGTGCAGTTGGCTCATGTCCAAAGACCCTTCAAGGGGGCTGCTTGCTCCCAGAGAGGTGACGCACCAATTTGCTTCGGAGACTCTGAGGAAGGGCAGGGGTGGCATTCAGGGCTAGTCCTACTCAAAGTAGACCCACCGAAGTGAATGGATGTGAGTAACTTTATCGTTTGGCAAGCTCAAAGGGTCTACTCGGAACAGGACCTAGTTGAATACAACCCTAGGACTCCCTGGAATCACCCTACGGGTTTGCTAAATGAGTGGCAAGCCGCCTTCTGCACAGTAACGGGGCTTTTTAAAAACAAAAAAGGCAACTTTCCCCCCTCCATTTTCTTTGTTTCTGCATAAGCTGCTGCCTCTCTTATTACCTTCTCAAAGAACAGTTGCACGCCATACCACTCAACTGTGTTCATCATTACAAATGGGCAGAGAAAGAATCCATAGCTGTCAACTTTTCCCTTTTCTTGTAAGGAATCCTATTCGGAATAAGGGAATTTCCCTTAAAAAAAGGAAAACGCTGACAGCTATGAAAGAATCCCCCTCAGACCTGGACCAATTAGGCAGGGTGGTGCAACACCACAAAATGTATATTTACTGTCTCCTTGTATTTTGACCACCATCAAGTGAGGGAGGTGGGGGAGTGAGAGGAGAGGAGAGGCAACATTTGGATTTTTGCCTCAGGCTCCAAAACTTATTGGGCCTTTCCGGCCTCTGTGGGTGGGGTCTCCTGTTCTCATCCCCACTCCCTCACCTGAAAAGCCCAGAGAATCAATTTCTACACAAACCCAAAAGCAGGTTGAGATGCAAGGTTGACAGCTGCATGGCTCACGTCATCCTTAACCCTCACCTGAAATTTTCAAACGGAGCATGTGTGTAGTCATCTCTACTCCACGCCAAGATGCTTTTCAGTCTACTTCTGGAGAGTTACTATGGCACATGGGGCCTGCCTGGTGCAGAGGCAATGGAAGGAGCAGAAGTTTCTTTTAAACACTCCCCCCTCCAAAAAAAAACAACAACAAAAAACCGAAAACAAAACCACACCCCTAGGGTGAGACGTCACTCACAGCACCACCAAAGTCAACACACTCCGCGCTGCCAGATGTTCGCATGCGATGGGTATTTTCACATAGCAGAAACAGACCTTGCCATTTTAAATTTGGAAAAGACGCACTCAGGTGAAAGAGGAACCTTGCTGAGGAAAGCAGTCTCTCGGCTGAAAATACTTTGCTAGAAATGGCGATGAACTTTGGGAACAGCAAAAAAAATGCCTCTTCACTGACCCATTCCACAGACTCAAGGAGGCTCAGAGCGCTTTGTGCATTTGCTTCATTCCTTGCCCTCCCCGCCCAAAGCTGTGTCCTTCTAAACTCTCAAAGCAGAAGATCTTTAAATTAAAAACGATTTTATACACATTTACAAAGCATCCAGAATATACAAAGGAATGATATGAGTCTTGGCTGACCACCTGAGGTGCAAGGCAAACCGCGCAGCCACTCGCTTGGGGCAACGTTGCACGTACGAGTCATGCAACTGTGTACACTTGGGACAGATATGTGAGCATGGCCGTTGCAGTTTTATGCAGGAAGCTCTGGAAAGCACTTTGGGAAATAATAATAATAATAATAATAATAACAATAATAATAATCTCATTACATGTAGGAAAGGCTCAATGTTTGTGCGAGTTTTCGGGATGAAACAAAAGATAAGATATGCTCGTGGTGCAGTTGATTAACAGAACCACTTCACAGATAAGTGCTGCTGCTGATGACTAAAGAGGCAGAAAAGCAGATGTTTTCCATTTGTTTTTAACAAGTCCCAGTTAAACTGGAATGAACTTATTGTTAAGTCCCTTTTCCCAAGAGACTAAGAACGAGATGCTTCAGTGCCTTTAAAGGTTGCATAAGACAGGTCAGGTATCGAAGTAGGTGGGGTGGGATGTTTGAGCCACTAAGTGCCTAGCAGATAACTTGCATGATTGTGTCTATCAGGTAGATTAATAGAATTGCAGAGTTGGAAGGGACCCTGAGGGCCATCTAGTCCAACCCCCTGCAAAGTCGTAACTTTGTCTGTCCTGTCATAGCTAGGCTGTGCAAAAGGGCCGCCACAGAAGTACAATTTGGCAGGGGATGTCCGCAACACATGTCTGCTCCCCAAATGGAGGCAGAGTTACGTAAAATTGAAATTTGGTAATTACCACTTCAACAGATTGTAGTTACTGGTCTTCAAATCCATTGATGACCAGCTTGGAGGAGTGTTTTGCAGTCACAAACACACGAGGACAGATGATTACGATGCTTTACCAAAGGAGAACGAAATCGTGGCATGCAAGCAACCACGTGGCAAACCTTTCCTGTGTATCATTGTGCCAAGGAACGAGGCAAATCTATCCACACCTGTAAATGCCTAATAATAATAATTTAAAAAGCGGACTGCAAAAAATTCTCCCTTGTTGCTTGGTAGGACGACGTCTTACCAAGTGGTTACATTGCAAACTGTGGGACATAACTAGTGCTGGTGCCTGGCTATTTCGCACTGTAGGCAAGGTTATTTTGTGCCATAGGCAACGTAAACTATTTGCATTGCCCTCCCAAAATTAACTTGCAATTTTCAAAAGCAGGTGTCTTGTAGAAATGACGTTCTTGAAAGATTATCAGAAATTTTAAGATATCACATAAACTAATCTGTATAAAACTGTGCTCCTCAAAGGTCAGTACTGTGTCCCTCTGAGTAGTTGGCCTAATGAGAGTACCAGCCTTTTTGTAACCACTTGGTAAACGGTCATATACTCAGTGTTCCTAATACGGTGCCAAAATTCCACCTGAAATTTCACCAATTATGGATGCCACAATTCCATCAAAGAGGCCACTGCCAGACACTTCAAAGACAGAGGAGCTCATATTTGCTAACTTAACACATTCCATACAGGTTAGCTCCCTGCAAACAAAGTATTTCTTATTGCACAAAGATTTAATGCATGCTATTAAGTGCTTTAGAAAAATTAGTGCCCCAACAACCCAGATTTCTGCATTTTTCTTAATGGATCCTGAGTAGATAGGTATTCTCTGATATGTGCTGAAATCCAAATCTGTATAATCTAGACTGAGAATGTGTAAGAGTTATGCTTGTTAAATTGTTAAAAACTGGGGGTGGGGTGGGGGAATATAATAAAAAAGGAAAGGAAAGGAAATCCAAATCACTGGTTAATTTCAGATTAGAAGAAGCTCACAAATGCAAGTTTGTGAAAGATGTAAATGACAGCAGAATTTAGGACTTTGGACAAAGGAAGCAAATTGCAAAGCAAAACACAAACTTTCATCTAAATCTCCTAAATAAAACTCAATATATCTGAGAATTATAAAAGAGTGTGTGTGAATAACCATTGCCCTTCTCTAGTAAACTTGGTTACTTAAATATAGCAAACAACTTTAAAAATGGGAAATACACAACCCTAATTTATTTTTTGAGGGGGCACGCTCTTATTTTTCTCCATCATAATAGACCACGAAACGAAATGCATTATGATGATTTGCTTTCTTAAAGCCATGAATTTTAAAGCTTATCTCAGCCCTACTGGAATCGAGGAGACACCTTGAACAGCTTGTTGTATGCAGGCTCAGTATTTTGTAAGACCATGCTTGCCTCCACCTTCCAAATTTCTGGAGAGCAGAAACTCACAGGAGATTCCCTCTTTGTTCAGCAAGATGTCCAGCATGGACTCCTCATGTGCACAATTCCAACAGAGGGGCATCCATACACACACACACACATTTTGTGTATGTGAAGCTGTCTCCCTCACCGAAGAGACCAGGGGAGCTGGTTCAAGCACGACTTCTGTGTGCGCCCCAGTGCACAATGAATCCCTTGCAGGCATGAGTACTTGGTGTGTGCAACTGTGAGGAATAACTGGATCAGGGTGATGGGGTGTTAAAATGATGGGGGAAAGACTGCTATCCTGCACACAGGTGATGCATGCACAGCTACAAGCAGCATGGTGACATGCTAAGGCAGGGAGGGAAAGGTCAGCTTCAACAACCAAGGCCTTAAAATATGCAACCTTTTCCCCTTCGTGGTTACAAACCCTGCATGGCTGCTGGTTATTGCAGAAGGAATCAGCACCCTAAGCGTTCCAGTGTCCGTTGGTGACATTTTAAAGCTTGGCCTCCTGTCCGTGCTCTGACATTATCCAGTTGGATGCTGCCAATGCCAGAGGTACAGACGTCCTACATACATAGTAACTTCTGCAGAATATACTTCGAAAACCAAACCCCATAATGCTTATTCCGCATGTGTGGCTACAAAGACAAAGACGGGTAAGCAGGCAAATGCATCTGAATCTTCACTGCATCACTGCTAATGCAGCAAAATTTAACTGCAAGCTTTAACGATTATGTTATTGAACAGTACAATCCTATGCAAGTCTGCTCATAAGTAAACCATGCTGACTTCAACAGGGCTTTCTACCAGGTAAATGCAGCTTAAGGCAGATTTCATTGGAAGCAAGGCTCACTAGACATGTTTGGCTGAACAACAGTAGCAACTTTCTGAAGGTAAGAGCTGTTTAATAGTGGAAGACTCCCTCTGAAGGTTGGATTCCTTGGAAGTTTTGAAGCAGAGGTTGGGTGGCCACCTGTCATGGATGCTTTAGTTGCGATTCCTGCATACAGGGGGTTGGACAAAATGACCCTCGGGACCCCTTTTAACTCTATGATTTCTGAGTAAGCATGCACAGCACTAAAAGGCTTTTGCTACTGATATTAGTGGCAGCTTTCGTTTAATTGTGTTATCTCCAAAAAGCACCTGTAACATGCAAATTGATGTAACTGATTAAAAAGGCAGGTGGTTAATCTAGCATATGGGTATGGGACCAGTGGCCATGCAGATGTTCTTGGACTCCAACTGATATCCGCCCCAGGTAGCACGGGCAGTGGTGATGGGAGTTGAGAGTCCAGCAATATCTCGCAGATTCCTCACCTCTGATAGCCCTAGAAATTGCAGAGTGACTGCAAAGGACAAGGTACTTTAAAAGATGGTGGCACAAGCGGCTGGCAGGCTGCAGGCAACTTCACATGCTCATATAAGAAAATGCATGCCACCACGCTGCAAATTAAAGGTGCCCCCAAGCACTTGTGTTTATTTCAGCAGTTTCATAACAGAGTGGAAAATGAAGACGGGCAGTCCTGACAGGAAGTGGGCTGGCCGTTATCAAATATATATGCCCTGTTCTTCACAACTATATCCAGATTTTGCTATGCACAGGTTGTGCAAAAGCCTCTCTTGTTTGATAAAAAGCACTGCATGTTTTCAAGCCGTTGAAGATTCTTATTCAGGCTGTGTGCCCAAGAAGTGGAACAGTTTGTGCATTGACCAGGTCTAACTGCTGGCCGTTCAAGGCTGTTCAAAGACCTACATTTTGGGCAAGTTGTGTTGATCCCAGCCATGTTCATCTGGAGTTGTTTGAGGAAGTAGGTTGTATAATGAATCTGTTTTTTAAAAGGTAAGTAAATGGATGAACCCTGCAAGAATGACACGAGTTAGGCAACTCATTCTACATGCACTCAGAAATGATCCATGCAACTAAATACATTATGTTTTCACCAGAGTAACAAGGATAGCAAACTAATTAATGGGTTTAAGTAAATGAATATTTTTGAGTTAACCAATTAATTTCCAATTAAAACAGGATGTCTTGAGTATTTTGGTAATGACTGTTGACTAAAGAAAGACACGCTATTGCTTCGAAAACTATTTGAAGCGTATGTGCTCCTGCTGCTGGCTTCCATGCATGCTTATCAAGGGCCTTTGTGGAAATCTTAATACATAAATGAGAGATGCCCTTGAGCACATGGAGCCCTCATGTATGGGACTCCCAATATCCTGTTCCTTGCAGTTATGAAGACTGTGAACTGCATGATACGCAGAGTTTGTAGCAGATCCAGGAGTACAGGCTTCCCTTCCATGACTAAAAAATTGATATTTTTGGGGGGGTGTGTGTGTCTAGTTTTTGAATGAATTAAACTAATTAATTTCTTCCATTATGAAACTTATTACTTCAACAATTTCAGCCCTAGGTGCTAGCCACTTTTAAGTGTGCTTGTGCAATACTTTTCTAAGATGCAAAGGTCCACAATTAATCTTTACAGTGGGCTGCAATGTCACTTGTTGGGCTCACAGAGAGCCTTGGGATTCTTCTTCAGTGGAATGCTAGACTATGCATTCAGATCCCAAGTCACGAAAAGAAGTGACTCATTGGACCAGACTGGAAGCACCCTATGTATTTCTGCTCAGAAGCCAGCACTCCTGGGTCCAGTGGGACTCACTCCCAGCCTCTGGGCATATAGGATTATATAGACCTGGGAGTGGAGTTTACTTAACTGGCAGCCTCCATTAGAGAAAGGACAAGAAAGGAAAGCAAACATGCAATGATGAGCATGTCACCCCTTCCGAGGCTGACATTTGCGCAGAGGGATTGCTTAACGTGCCATGGAAAGCAATAACACCTCAGAAAACAGAAGCAAACATGTAAGGTGGCAACTAAAATATTTAGCATTCTGCGTAGGATGGGAGGAATTTTGGTTTCACTACAAATGGTGGCAAAACGCTACTAGATCAATGCACCAGCAAGTTAATTGCATTAAAAAGTCCCAGCAATGTACAACTGAGTTATAAAGAACCTAATTTCTTTAAAAGTCCCAACAACTGGGTGTGGGGCTTAAAAACATCACCCCACTACTTTATTTCAACAGATTGTTTCCACGCGATATAATTAAGTGCTTACTGGTGCCTGAAACATAAGGCACCAGCAATCTGCTAGTCCTGTGGAGGGAATAGAGGTAGGTTTGTCCATTGGTGTTAGGCTCCTCCTCCTCCTCTCATAACTAACCTTGGAGATAGAAGACCTCCTGGATGTACCCCATAGGAAGTTCTAGTCCACAGGAGACCGACTAGGAGAGCTGTTCTCCTGGTACAGCCTGGCCAGTGTTCACAATGCAGCTGGCCTGGGGCACATTTAGCACTATCCAGAATACAAGGGGTTGGATGCATAGAACTGTGAGCAGGAGGAGGGAGAGTAGCTAGCGCTGGTCCACAAACCTGGTCTGACTGTTTAAGGAAGTGCTGTGATAGTGTCCACAGCGGTTCCTGAACCCCTTGCTTGTGTGCAAAACTGGTTTCGCACTGCTTTGCCTTTCTTGCTCCAGGAATCATTCTTTGAGCTGGGGGCACCTACAGGGTATGACACCCATCTGATTCAACCCAGTATGGTTGGCAGTGGCACCTAGCATCCTCCCACCCTAAGGAGCCTCCCTCACTGTCTTCAAGGTTATATAACCATGAGTAGGCTGAGGAGGCCAAATTGGAAATGATAGGTCCTAATAATAAGAATAAGAACATGCATTGCTGATGTTGACAATTTCTTGCATTTGCTCAGAAAGTATCTGAACTCAAGGTGATTCTGCTCCAGGCAGAGTCTCACACAATCCAATACATTTCTTGGAAAGCAAGGGAGTACAGAAATATTTTAGTTCTGAGCAGTGGTGTGGCATCAGCTAACCGGCTTCAACAGGGTTCCAAGGGCATCTAAGTGGTCATGGAGGTGACTTAAGGGACATCATCAAGGAGGTGTGAACACCATTCCACCTACCATCACCCCCTAGTGCTCAGAAAAGGTTCTCAACTGCAAGACTCTGAAACAAAACAACTTCCTTGGGTGCTTTCCTAAGGATTTCCCCAACTCTGAACTGCCAAAATTTGACAGTATTGGGGGCTTTTGAAATGGAGCATGAGAGACAGAACTGCTGAGTGTCCTCTGCTGCAATGCTAGTAGAGAATACATTTAAAAAAGAAGCAGCTAAGTATTGTGCTAATACTTTTTTCTTTTCTTTATCTGATTTGATTAACACTGAAGCTAAGAGTGAGATTTGTTTGCTGTTAGAAAGGAGTGGGGGAATCCTTTTAAATCGCAAGGGCATCTATTGCATATTTTTTGAAGCATATTATTCTCTCAACGGCCACACACACAAAAGATAGGAGTGCAACTCTAAGGACCACCTTTCTTATTTTGGAGCTCCTTCGATCTAAAGGTAGGGAGTGGCTTTTAACGAAAATGTATAGTCCTCTGGGAGGTTTACTCACTTCTTTTATAGAGACTGATTCTCTATGAAATTGAATATCAATATACGTATCAAGGCTTTAAGATTAGACCGCTGAAGAAACCTGGAAAACTACCTTGGGAGTGTGCTACCTGCCTACCTGCAAGAAGGCAAGTTAGCTTGATCTTTCAGGGCTGCAGGTTAGTGTTCCTCCTCTGAGATAAATTTACTTGCAATTCAGTGCCAGCATGCTTTGGAAACGTGGGTCAATACGACAGTTGACAAATAGTACCAAACATTATGTGAAGGGCTCTGGGTGCGGAATCCGTCCCCTTTGGTGCTGTGATTAAAGCTACAGTCCAATGCACACTTCCTTGGGAGCAAGTCCAGGTCTGGCTCAATACATTTCGTGGTGTGGGGAGGACAAGGTGGTGCACCTCCCAACCTTTCCAAGCACAGAAGTTTTGCCCAGTCAGCTGCATCTTTCTTCAACACTGGCAATGGGGAGGCACCCTCTCATAGAATCAGAGTTGGAAGGAGACAGCTTTGGAGACACGGGTCAGGTTGCATGGTACACAAAACTTGCTGCTGCTGCTGCTCTCCATCTCCCAGCTTCCGCTGCCCAAGGTAGTTGCCACACTCTCTCTAATGGTAGGGCCGGCTCTGGGCCAAGTCACATTGAAGTCAGCGGCACTTACTTTTGATAAAGCATTCATAGGATCAGCTCATTTCCACAAACTCAGAACCTAAAGCTGCTCTGCCCTCTGTCACCGGGACTGCTAAGTGCTCCACCACATGCATGTTATTAAAAGTTGTCTACACACACAGGGAGTCGCTTGTGGAAATGAACAGAGAATTTGGAAGCCAATGCTTTTTGCAAAAGTAGAGCTGTGAAGAATTTCATGAAGCCAGTTACACACAGCTCTATTTCTCCAAAAAGCATTTGCAAAGAGGGCTTCATTTGGCCTCCCCCCCCCCTTTACAGGGGTGTGAAAAAAATACGTTTTTTCAGAAAAACAGCACCTGAAAAAGCCTTCCTTTTAGGTGAATTTCACCCACTTGGAAAGAAAGGGCCATGAAGGCAGTGGTGGGTGTTCATGCTCCCCTGCTGGATGCCTTCTAGGACTGTACAAAGCCTTGTTGGCAAACTGGAATTATTCTCAGTAGTGCAATGTGGCTGACTAAGTAGCGTGAGCTGCAGTCTTCACCTTTGGGGCGTTGCACAATAATCCATGCAATGCCAGACGAATCGTGTCAACGATTCTGGATGGGCTCTGGGCATGGCCTTAGTTCATGTGGGACATTAGCCAAGGCTGCAGACTTGCATGAATAGTGCTGCCTTTTCAAGGAAGCTTGCCTGCTATAATTGGTATTCTCAACGTAGATTCCCCCAAGGGCAGGGTTTTCTGTAGCACAGGTTGGAAATGTGCTTCCTTACTGACCTATGGCCCTTCCATTACAATTCTCTAGAATATTTTCCCATGGTTTTTTTTTTGGGGGGGGGGGGCTGGCAGAGAACTACTGCATGGCAGTAGGCTTCAGCCATAAAAAAAATTGCAAGGAGTTTTCTGTAAAAGAAAGTATCAGGGAAAGCGCCTATGCATGAGGTGCTGTAGAATACAGAACTACACTTGAAATGTGACCTCTTAATGTAGTTTTTCACCACCGTGACTAACAACTACTGGTTTGTAATTCTTTGCGCTGCAATGAACTTGCCAACCAGGGGCCGTTATGCTAGATTTCCCAAGACTGAAAACCGGATTGCAAATGGCACACCTCGCCAGGACCCAAATCCAACCAAGCCTAGTTGAGAACTAATTGGAAAAGCCAGCCAAAACCTTCTTGCCAAAGACACAAGAATCAGATTTTGGATGGAGAAGGGCTTGCACAAATGATTCTGTAAGTCCATGCCAGCCTTTCACTTCAAAGCCAAAACAGAAATGATGGAAGGAACCAAAATGACAATACAGTGCCAAATATATACTGAAATCTCAAGCGCTTTCCTGCTTCAAATTTGCAGCTGCTGGCAAAGCGGCAACATCTTCTTTGATTTGGCCTAAGAGTGCTTCAGTTCTGTGAATAAGGGTCCCTGCAATGAACCACCTGCCCTAAAGCAAGCTATGCTTCTAGATTTTACACAAGACAGATCTGCTTGGGCCTAGGGAGGAAAAAAGGAAAGAGAAGGTTACACAATATTTACGATATGCTCCACAGGCACCAGGGTGGGGAGGGGAGGAGAAGCACAGCACATGAAAGACAACCAGAATTCTGTTATTTCAAGGCACTTCAATATTGCTTATCAGGATGGGTGGCAGAACTCTGACTGCTCCGCTAGGGCATGCTCTAAACCACACAAGTAACGTTATGGGATGAAGGTTTCCATGGGGAGACATCAAATCATGGGGCCCTGATGGCGGCAAGCATCCTCATATCTCATATCTGGGAGGGGAGGAAACATCAGAACGGGAGATCTATTGCTGTAAGAAAAGATACAAACATCTGAAGGCAAGAACGGATTCCTTCATCGACTCAGACGCTTGGCCCTGATAAAAGTGAAGATGGGTAAGCTGACAGGAAGATTTGAGAAAGAGAGGCAGATTCTGTTTGGAGAAGCAAGTGGGGAATTCTCACGGCAGAAGCTGAGCAACCCCTTAGTCACGAGTCCCACTCTGATATGCTCACGCAAAATTCCATGCATATGTTAAGAGCCACTGTATCACGGCCTTCATCTATGTGCCAAGAGCAGAAGGTTTATCTGCTAGGAAAGGGTGATTATGCCTACGTCAAGAATCACCAGCGCTTATTTATTTCTCCAGATTTTCTTCTGGAACAGCTGCGCTTTCTCTGCTGCCCAGATTCTTGTATCAGCCACAATTTTTGCAAATATGTCTCCTCAGATCATCATGGAACAAACCAAGAGCTGTTGGTGGACCTCAAGCTCCAACATTCGGACCCTCAAAACAGTTATGAAATTATAAAATTAACAGCAAGAAGTGGTCAAAGCAAGCCTGCCTTGCAGCCTCCTAGAGCCTTCGTCCTGGGCCATGAAAAGGCATTTTTTTTCTTTTAAAGCTACCAAACATTTAAATTTGTGAAGATCTGAACTAAGTGCTGCTGTCAATCCTTGAAAAGAGACTGCAAAATACACAATTGCCTTTTTAAAAAAAACACATGCAAGGAAGGTGGTTTCACATCTTGTAGTCCCTCCCCCCATATCAATTACTAATGAACTTCAAGCATGTTGAGGTGTAATGTTGGGAACACATTTTTAAAACTCATAATACCTTTCCCCCTGCCCCCCTCCCCATATCACAAAGAAAAAATATTAATTAGAACTTAAGAAGCAATGAATGCACCATTAAAGTGTCATCAAAAGATGTTGACCTAAGACAAAGTTTTCCATGATACACAATACGGACCCAAAAAAAACGAAAGAAAAGAAAAGAAAAAGTCTGTCAATAATATACAGTATGACAACTACATCTTGTAAATTATACCCAATACTGCCGGCAGTCTATCCCTCTAAAGAATATTTGCCCCCTTTCATCCCTAACAATCAGATAATAAAATACAGCACCTATAAATAAGCAAAAATAATATATATATACCGAAATCGTTCTATCGTTAGTTTTAAAGATATGGCAATAAAGGAGTCTAAATCAGCAAACTTGTAGAAGCCGTAACTGATAAAACAGCTTATTGAAAAAAGGTGGCAGTAATGCACTCTATGCGTGCAAGAAGTACGTAAGAAAATACAGACGTATAAAATTGCACACACACTCACGCACACACTCGGCTTTCCACACGGCTCTATGCTCACGCATATACACATAGACAACAGGAGGCGTCAGAGACAATTTGGAAATTTGATTTTGTACTTTGATCGGCCTTGCAGCTTTTGCAAAACAAAGTGGAAGAGCTGACAATTGCGATGGGCGCCTTAGTTCATGTGCGCATGTTTTGGTTAGGTGTTCCGTGGTTTACGTTGCGATTACCGAACGCCACGGGCTCCTCCTGCAAGCCTGTCCTCTTTTTGTTAATGAGGACACCCTCATAAAAGGATGGTAATAATAATAATAATAATAATGATAATGATAATCCCACAACTGAAACTTAAGAGAGAAATCAGTGCTTGCTGTGGGACCACAGCCAGTGATTAACCAATTAGTTAAGGGTGCTGAAAGGTCCTTTTCTATCTTAGTGGGATGTGAGAACAAGAAAGTGCCCAGTGACTGATCTCACCGCCTGCCATCAAGACAGCTCATTGTAAGTCAGGAGTGGGGAACCCATCGCCCTTCAGATGTTGCTGGACTCTGACTCCCATCAGCCCCAGCTGGCATGGTCAATGGACAGGGTTGGTGGGAGTTGTAGTCAAACATCAACTCAAGGGCCACAGGCTCCCCACTCATGTTCTAAGTGCTTCTCACTGCAAGATGCACCTCCACTCTTCCCAAAGTGGTATCAGCCAAACGCTTCCATCCTTCTAGTCAACACCACCACCCTGCCAAGGTCCTACGTATAACGTAGGCTCATTATGACACCCACCTGTCTGCAACCAAGTGAGCTAATTTCTTTCAAAAGCTGGTGGTTCTTTCCCCATAGGGCACAAGTGACTAATGTAGGCATGTGTGACTAGGCTGAGGACTTGTAACTGATTTGCAAGGCTGGCATGACGGAATTCAAACTGATCCGATCAAGTACCCATTCCAAACTGTCTCCCACACCTCCTAGAAATGAGGTCTGATCTGCGCGCTCTGTGGTTAGAGGTTAAAAAGCAGATTATAAAATACCTAGATTTCAGATTATTTTTTTCAGATTTCTTCCTTTTTCTGTCCTGATTTGGCCTAAAATGGAGTGTATTAAACAAATCCCAGCCCATAAAGAGACCAGAATTGGTTAAAGCTATGAAACGATGTGCACTACAAGTCAATTTTCTATTCCACTTTACAAGAAAAACACTGAAGTCAGCTACCACAAATTAAGATATTTTCCTGATGTGACTTTTCTCTTTTGTTTAAAAAATACGAGGAGTAAATGTGTATTTTTTTTAAATCCCAAGTTTTAAACAATATTCTTTTCTTGAAAATATTTAGGAATTCAAACTAGTGTGTTTAGAGTCGGGTTGACTGTGCAATCTCTTAGTGGCAACTGAACAGCTACAAAAAACCTTTTTTTTCTTTTTCTCAAAAAATCTCCCCTTCCATCTTTTTTCGGTTTTCCTGCTTAAAGAAGATAATAGTGTATTATTATCGCTCTGTTTAGCCATTAGATGGCGGATAAAAAGCCCCCCTTTTAAATATGTGGGTTTAATTTTTTTTCTTCTTCTTGTTTGTATATAATTTTTTTTTTTTAGTTTTAAAGCCCACACCAAAGAGGAGGGCAGAAGGCAAAAGCTGTATGAGTTTTTTTTTCTTCCCCAGAAACTGTGGAAAATCACTTTAGGGCAATTAATAGAAACACTTCGGGGTACAAAAAGCTCGACTACACATTTTCAGTTTTCATCCTTGAAAACACAAACATAAAACTGGGCTGAAACGCTCCTTTCGTTCTCTATATGCACCTTGGCCTATGGCATTTTTGCCCCGTGGCCTGCAGGGCTGTAAGTGCGGGACACAATTAAAACCAGAAGAGGTCCAAGTGTTTTTTGTGTGTGTGTTTTTGTTTTTTGTGTTTTACTTCCCCAGCTCCTCAGAGTTGGGTGAGCTTAATCTCAAAACTCCCACTCCACGGGCTCCTCTCGACTTGCGGCCTTCTCTAGGCGGTGGATTATGCTGTTCAAATTTGCTGCCTTCTTTTTCCTCAAGGTGTTGTCCCGCGTGTTCTTCGAGCAAACCGCCTCCGAGAAGCCGAACAGGGTCTGGAGGGAGTTGGTGGCTGGTGTGGAGCTGGTACTTGGCACAATGGGAATTTTCTCCACACGTTCCCCTGCGGCCTTGCAGGAGCTCTCCCCTGCAAGGAGCGAGGTGGAGGCAGCTGAGGTAGAGGCATCCTCTTCTGGAGCAGAGTTTGGCGTCGTCTCCAGAGTTTCTCCTGAATGTAGGGAGCCCGGCGGAGAACTCGGACGCGGTGCTCGGAGCCTCCCCTCGTCGTCAGTGTCGTCCAGGCTCTCCGCCCCCAAGTGGAATGTCTCCGCTTTCTCCGAAGATCCGGCGTCTCGCAGTGCCTCTTCCCCTGCATCGAAAGCTGACGCTGCTCGCCCTCCCTGAGACTTTGTGGTTGTGTTGCTGCTGTACTCGTCGGCTTCCAGGCGGCTTCCCGGCTTCCCGTCGGGCGGGCCCTCCGCGTCCACCCCATCACAACTGTCTCCTTCGGAGCTGTGAACTGCCCGGCTGCTTCTGGCCGAAGGAGAGTCGCTGGACCCAGCCTGGCTCTGGCCTCCCGCTTGGATTTCTTCGATAAAGAGCTCTCGGCGAATGCGAGACCTGGGCGGGGAGAGAGAAAATGTAGGTGGGAGGGGAAGACGGTGTCAAGCCGGTCACTGATATGTCAATAATGTAAGTACAGGTGATAATAATGATAATGATAATAATAATAATGATAATGATAATGATAATGATAATAATAATACAGTGGTACCTCGGCTTAAGAACTTAATTCGTTCTGGAGGTCTGTTCTTAACCTGAAACTGTTCTTAACCTGAAGCATCACTTTAGCTAATGGGGCCTCCCGCTGCCGCTGCACGATTTCTGTTCTCATCCTGAAGCAACGTTCTTAACCTGAGGTACTATTTCTGGGTTAGAGGAGTCTGTAACCTGAAGCGTATGTAACCTGAAGCGTCTGTAACCCGAGGTACCACTGTAGTAATAATTTATTATTCATACCCCACCCATCTGACTGGGTTTCCCCAGCCACTCTGGGCAGCTCCCAACAGAATATTAAAAAAACAACAAAACATCAAACATTAAAAACTTCCCTAAACAGGGCTGCCTTCAGACGCCTTCTAAAAGTTAGGTAGTGGTTTATTTCCTTGACATCTGATGGGAGTCGGTACCGAGAAGGCCCTCTGCATGGTTCCCTGTAACCTCACTTCTCGCAGGGAGGGAACCGCCAGAAGGGCCTTTGAGCTGAACCTCAGTGTCCGGGCAAAACGATGGGGTTAGAGACACTCCTTCATGAATACAGGGCTGAGACCATTTAGGGCTTCAAAGGTCAGCACCAACGCTTTGAATTGTGCTTGGAAATGTACTGGGAGCCAATGTAGGTCTTGATTACAACACTAATGATCTTTATAACATTTCCCACTCCTCAAGGAACTAAGAATTCAAGAAGAGCCTGCTGGATCAGGCCAGTGGCCCATCTAGTCCAGCATCCTGTTCTCACAGTGGCCAAGCAGATGCCCCCAAGGGAACCCCCCAAGCAGGAGCCAAGCACAAGCACTCTTGGAAGCAGGAGGTCCTAGACTCAATCCCTGGCATCTCTAGAGAATCTTCCCTGAAATCCTGGATAGCTGATGCCAGTCAGTGTAGACAATACTGAGCTAGATGAGACAACGGTCTGACTCTGTATAAGGCAGCTTCCTATGTTGTGTTTATTTTTTTTAAAAAAATCCTTTGAGAGGAATGGTGGGATAGAAACTTTGATACTCCTCCTCCTGCTGCTGCTGCGACTACAACAACAACAGATTAACCATAATCTCCTACTCATCCCTCTCAAAAAATTCAGTCCCACCTGATTTCAAACTAGAAATATACACAGTGAGATGTTCATATGATGTACAGCTCTAATAAATAGGCACTGGGAGCAAGTGGATTGAGGGTGGCTCCTTTCTACTTCCTCTGCTAAGGAGCTTACCAGGGGCATCTGTTCGGCTAAATTCTGGACCACTAGGCACCATGCCCCCGCAGGTGACATGCCACACCCCTGGGACGCGTGCCAGTCACGCCCCCGCCTGCTCTCTGCCCCCTGGTGCCGGAGCATGAAGCTCCGCCACTGGGGGGCGCATTTCATAATTGGGATGCCATTTCTGAGAAGACCCTCTGGTGCAGTCACAGACTGCCAGGCTTCACTCAGTGACAGAACAATCAACAGAGGCTCCCTAGCACATTACCTGTAATTGTGGAACCAATTAATGACGGTGCTGGTCTTCAAGTTGAGCTGTGTGGCAAGCTCCTCAATGGTTTTTGGTGATGGGTATGGCTTTTGCTGATAGGCTCGCTTCAGAGCTTCTTTCTCTTCTGGGGCCAACACGACTCGCGGCTTCTTTAGCTGATGCTGCGGCTGTGGACTGGCCCCCTGGCTGTAATCGATGCCCGCTGAAGAAGACTCTGAAGGCTGGCTGTCGCTGACCGAGCTGTGCCTTCGTTTCATGTACGCTGAAAGACAAAAAGGAAACCACAGGGATCATTTTAGGCACAAAGCCAAGCAACTGGGAGAGCCGGCATGTATGAAAGGACAGATTGGTAAGCGTATGGCAGTGTGGGTGCAGTGGTTAGAGTGCTGGGCTAGGACCTGGGGTGCCAGGGTTCAAATCTCCACTCAGCCACGGTGCTCGCTGGGCAACCTTGGGCCAGCCACCGTCTTTCAGCCTAACATACCTCACTGGGTTGAAATGGACTGAAATTGGAGTGGGGTTGGGGCAGAGAACCATGAATGACACTTTGAGCTCCTTGGGGGAAAAGTGGGATATAAATGTATTATTAACCATCATAAACCAAAGCCAGGATCAGATTGGCAGAGCACATGGTCACTCTTGCCCTGGCTCTACCGATTTTTGAGATTAAAATGGTGGGCAATTGGGGCCTCTGGGGAGCTGGCTGGCACTGCCCTTTGCTTTGTAGCATGTGCCAATTGGCAACATTGCCCTCGACTGCCTGCCTGCTAGCCAGAGAATGAAGAGAGAAAGGGAGGAGGCAGCAGAAATTACAGCTAAGTTTATTAAATTACTAAGTAACAACAACATGTGCAGTGCTTCACATACATTTTCTCGTATTCTTTACAGAAATCCAGCAAGTATTGATATCTCTACTTTGGAGGCAGGCGTGTTGAGGTTTTGCCCCCAGGTCACCTGGTGAGTTCTTGGCAGAGGTACAATTTTGCACCTTATACCTCAGGATTCATAGATCCTTTGCTACACCAGTTTTCAATTTCTGCTCAAGGGATGTCAGGTTGCAGACTTGCCCCGGAGCTCCGTAGATCTGGTGTCAGTAAGGGTTGACAGCACTGATGCTAGATGGACCAATGGTCCTAACGTGGTGTAAGGTAACTCATTATAGCCATTTTACAGATGGGTATAGTTGGCAATGCAGCCTGTCCGTGTTGAGTCTCCCACCTGCTCAATAACCTGTACTGTAGGTTATTCCAGGGGTAGCTAATGCGGTGCCCTTCAGATGCTGTGGACCACGTTGTCTACCCCAGGCTTATTTTCAAGTCCTGGTGTTTACAGCAAAGGTAAGACATTGTGTCCAATCTCTAAGCCACTGGGGTAAATAAATTGTATGCTAATCTTTTGGTAAGTCAGGATAAACATTCCCAACTAATGATTTTTTTTTGGGGGGGGGTAGCAGACAGGAGCTGAGGAGGGTCTGGTTCAGAATGAATCAGATGGGGGTGGTGGGGAACTAGGCACTGTGAGTGTGCCTGGGCACAGAATAGCAGAGAGGCCAAAGCACTGCGGGTCGAAACAGAAGTGCCAAAGACACTTGAAAAGCTTTTGACAATGTACCTCACCAAAGACTCCTAAGTAAGCTTAGCAGTTAAGGAGTAAGAAGAGAGGTTCTCTTGTGGATCAGGGGCTGATTTAAGTTGCAGGAAGCAAAAAGTAGGAATAAATGGACAGTTCTCTGAAAAGAGAGATGTAGAAGCAGAACCCCCGCCCCCAAAGGATTGGTATTTTACTTGTTCATAAACGATCTAGAGGTAGGAATTAAGTGTTGAGGTGGCCAAGTCTGCTGAGGATACTAGATTGTTCAGGGTCATTTTAAAAAATAGATTTTGTAAGAGTTCCAAAAGGACCTCTCCAAACTGTGTGAATGGTTGGTAAAATGGAAAATGCAATTCAACGTAAACAAGTATAAAAATAATTGATGCATGTCAGGGCAATAATTTCACAAATATAATCATGGAGTCCAAACTGGTGGCGATAATTGTGTCTGGTCCGTCATTGCAAGTTCAGACCCCAAGGGCGTGCAAGGTGAGAAATATGTGCATAGCTGCAGGCATGATGGAAATTACCTTTCTTTTCCATGCGTTTCATGTCCATCAACTTCTCCACGTTGTTGGGGTCGTTGAGCCATAGCTGCATGCGAACAAACGGCTCCCGGCCCTTCAAGCTCAGCTTGTGCCAGGGCTTGGGACGTGCCAGCAGATCTGAGACTGAACCTTGTGTTAGCCCCAGGATTGTCTCCCCAAACAGACGCTGACCTGCAAAGAAGCCAAACATCAAGTTGTATTTGTGCCATGGAGAGAGAAGACAATGCGATAGGAGAAGGCAACACAAACACACACATACATGAAAGCAAAAGGGGCCCAATGTCATTAAGGAACAGAACACCATGCCAGTTAAGCCGTTTGGGCTTCTCCTGAAAAGAGAAGTGGCGCAGGACCACCTCTAGGGAGGTGCAGGCAGTTTGTAGGGGGAATCCGCAACTCCTTCAACTCACCGAAAGCTGTTCTACAATTTTAAAAAATCCCAACTGCACCATGTCACATTGAAGGTGGGAGCTGGCCACATTTTATATTCCACGTAGAATTCCTGGAATTTACTGAGCCAGCACATCAGGGTGTAGCCTGCAATAAATGTCCTGCCCTGGTGTGCTTGTTTTCTACATTAAGGGAGTGTTATTTCTGACTCCCATGTCATGATACAGAAAGAGAAAGAAAGAATAATTTGTTTTTGTCAGAGCCTCCGCTTTTGACTCATTTCAGATTGATTCGGTTCTTGAACACGTAAAACAAAAGCCAGAGGATCCAATGACTTCACCACCGAACTTGGTGATGCCTGAAATCCTTTCTGATAATCTTCTCCGTATTGTTCCAATTTTGGTAGATGTGCTGCCAAAGCAAGCATGCCTGAAATCCTTTCTGCCCTTAGGATTCTCAGTCTGGGTGCATTTGAACTTCTGCCCACTGATTGAACACCTGACACTCCCGAGAATAATGGGCTGGTATGCAGATAACATGTACAGGCCTAATTTTTACTTAATGCTAAGCCAAACTTTAGCTTAGTGAGATCAAGCAAGCATGTAGCTACTCTATGGAGAGCTAAGCTGTAGTTTGGCTTAGTGTTCAGTGTGTGTGAATGCAAGCTCATGGTTTGCCTTGATCTGAACAGCTATGGGCTGCAAACAAGGTGTGTCCTTGGTTTATTGCTGGTGGCTTGTTTGGGGAAGGCAGACCACAGGCCTGAGTTCACATACAATGCCAGGCCAAACCATGGCAGTGCAGCAACAGGAGAACTAAGACAGTTTGGTCTAGTGTTTTGTATGAACCGAGACAATGTTATTTTTGGTATTATTATTATTTATCACTTATAGAGTGCTCTTCAGGGTAGCTCAGTTGGTACAGCATGAAACTCTTAATCTTGGGGTCATGGGTTTGAGTCCCATGTTGGGCAGAAGATTCCTGTATTGCAAGGGGTTGGACTAGATGACCCTTGTGGTACCTCCAGATCTACAATGCTATGATTCTATGTACATGGTGCTTTTTAAGCAACCTTAGTTACATGAATGCACGTCTTCTCCCCATGCTTTCCCCATCTGCATCCCTACTTAGTTATGGAAGTCTGATAATGACATTTCTTTTTTCTGCTCAAGCATCTCCATGATTGCATATGGAAAAGTGTGTCAGGGTCAGGCCAAAGGGTACCAAAATCCATACCTGGGGTGCTTAAAACTTAGAATGTTGTGAGCAGCTCTGAGGACTCCTATCAAAAAGTAGGATAGAAATCCACTGAATGGCCAGGCCCCAATTATTTAGACCTTGCTTGGGCAAGTGAGAGGTTTAATACTGCCTGCCAATTGGAGGGGTTGATCTTATTTCTTTCTACACCTGAACTCTGAGGCCTGAGCTGTGGCAGTCCCCATAAACTCTAAATAGCTAAGACACAGCCTCATGGGCATGAGCTTCCTGCTTCAAACTCCAGGGTATTGGAAGAAAATGTTATCCGAAAGAGCTACATCCAAACAAAGCTTCCAAGGCCACAAGCGGATGTAAAAGAACAACCAAATTTTCACGAGTTTCTAATTAATCTGGGTGGTCTTGGCTTCCCCTTCAATGCTTTCTAAGCTACCAGGTTTCGGTTTTCAGCTGGGAAAATTAAAGGATTGATTCCCCTGGCTGGGAACACTTCCCACTGTTTAAGGTGAGGACCCTACAACGGAGATAATGGAAACAGGGAGCAGAAGCAGATTGAAACGATTTCCGACCCGTGTTTCCATCTCTGGCTCCTGCCACTCAGAGAACAGCAGATGCTCAAACTGTACTGCAGCTGGACTCCATAACAGCTCCATTCCATTAAGCTAATCGAAACCATTCAATCAATGACCCTAGTGATGCTCACCTTGGAGCCTTCCAAAGAATCTGCTAATAATTTCTCCTGCAAGTGTTTTTAAACTCTTAGTGCAGGTGGACTTCTGCTACTGGCCATGTGGAATTTAGTATGTATCTTCCTTTAGGAAAGATTCCCAGTGAACAATTCTCCCTTATAACCCTGCTTTAAGCTCAAGGCTTAGCTCCAATGCCTGGGAACAATGGCACCCCCCTCCCGCCCTTTTGGCAACATGCTAATTATAAAGGCTCTTCATTACATGATTACTGGGATGCTCCCATCTACCCTTGTTGGTGATCCCAGGCAAGAGTCTCGAAAGCGAGCAGAGATTACAAGGCACAGACAGCAAAGATAGAAGCACCTCCTCTTCAATTGCCCATCCCATCCCATAGATGCAATTTGTGAGGCAATCTTTTTTACATGGGGAAAAAACACAGTGATATTTCCATTTGGAATATGTACCCCAGGCTGGCTGTTTCAGCAACCTATGCCTTATTGACCACAAGACTTGCTTTTCAAACCCAATAGTAACTACAAATAGCCCTTTAGCTGAATCAGACCAAAGGCCTATCCAGCCTGTCCCCTGTTTCCTTGGAGAAGCCCATAAGCAGGGCACAAAGGCAATAGTCTTCTTCTCCTGCTACTGTTCTGTGGCAACCAATATTCAGTGGTGCTCTGCCTCTGAAATTTAACCATCATAGTCAACTGCTGCAAATTGGCCTAATAGGAAGTTGGCATATACTGCTAGACCATTGGTCCACCTCTCATCATCCCCTGCACTGATTGACAGCAGCTGTCTCTGGGGTTTCAGACAGGAGTCTTCCCTGGCTCTACCTGGAGATGTTTCTGTATGGATGGTCTTTTCTCTTATCCATCCATGAGTTGGTCTAATCTGCACACAACTTTTTCCCCCATGAAGCTGATTATAAAATGTCCTAAACAAACAAGCCCCTTTCAAAGTTATCTGAGTCAGACATCATCGCTGCACCAGCGAGATTCAAAGTATCATTATGTGCATGTGAAGAACTTTAGACTGTCCCGAATCTCCTGCCAAGCAATTTCACCAAGTGATCTCCAGTGTCTATTCTTGAGACCACATTCGCATACAAAGATAAACCTATTATGATGTGCATAAGCCACAATGGTCATAAGACCACACTCTCCTATCCCCTCACATGCTGCCAGGATGACAACTTTGGAAGCACTAAGTTTACTAGGCCAGGGCTTCCCATTTCCATTTCATTTGAACTGGGGGATCGTGGTTCAACCCTAACTATGGCCAGTTTCAGCTTAAAAACAAATGGGTGTAGTATAAACACCGACAACTGGGAAACACTGGCCTGCGAGCGCTCCAACTGGAGAACAGCCTTGACCAAAGGTGGGCTTTGAAGACTCTTGAACTTAGGACAAAAGGGAGAAACGTGCTAAGAGGAAGGCACACTTAGCAAACCCTCAACATGATCAACTCCCACCCGGAAACCTATGTCCCCACTGTGGAAGGATGTGTGGATCCAGAATTGGCCTCCACAGTCACTTATGGACTCACTGTTAAAATCGTGTTTATGGAGGACAATTTTACTCAGCTATGAATGATACCAAAGAAGAAAGAAGAAAAAAATTGACTTCAACGCATGGGACTTGCTTCTTTAAATTAGTCATAGCAAGTGCAATGTATGATCTACAGTCTCAATGAAGGAGGTAGCTGTGGTTCACAAAAACTGAAAGGAAAAGCTTCTGAAGTCCATCTCAGCCATGGGAGAGGAAGAAGCAAAGGACCCTGAGGATGGCTGCAGCTTTTGCACGTCACAATAAGCCATAGTTTATGGTCCAAATGCAGTCTATATTGGTATTTACCAGCACATCTTCATTGCTTAGAGATGTGGCTACATGTATATGTTATAATTCTGCGGAACTGCTGAAAGTAACATCATCTTCTTGAATAGTCTTAAGCTCTCATTAAAAAGGGGGTGGAGTCTACAAATATATAGTTAAAAGTGTGTGGGCAAAACCTGCTGAAAACTCAGAAGCTGACTTGGTGGATATAAGAACTTTTGTGGCCGGAGCGCCCCTTTCAATGAGTAGCTAAGTCAGAATAGTGCAGAATAAATTACACAAAATTTAAGTGAAATTGGGCAAAATGTGTTCAATTTGTGTAATTTAAACAGACCGATCACTTGGCTTTTCTTGATGCAGAGTTTGTGTACTCAACCCAGTAAACAGAGCAAACTCAGCCCCTATGCAGTGGTTAATCAGAATGTGACCTTGAGGCTGCTTAACGATACAAGGCAAGAATGACCACGACACCTGCTCTGCGCTGTCCGCCCCCCGTCCCTTGCCAAGCAGTTGAACGACTGAAGTTAAGACAGGTCTACTGCTGTAAGAATCTAAAATTAGGGATCTCCTACATTTCAGATAATGGCTCTGGAGGCACTGTGAATCCTGCCGCCATACTTTAAAGCAGCAGCTGACCAGGAGTTTGCTGATCTTCCAAATATTTTTTTTCTATTCCTCCCTCTATCCCAGGAGTGGGGAGGATGTTGCCCTCCAGAAGTTGCAGGAGTACAACTCCCATCCATCCCTTACAACAGAGGCCCCACCCAGCCTGCTGTGTCCCTTCAAATAAGCTCTGCACCCCACAGGTACTTCTAAAAAGATACTGCTGTTTTCACTCAGTGTATCTTTTGTTGTTGTTGCTTTCTACATATTTTTGCTCTTACACCCTTGCTGTACTCTATCTATCTATCTATCTATCTATCTATCTATCTATTCATGGTTTTATGCTTTTATGGAGCAGACCTCAGCAACAGGAGCATGTTAACATAAACATAACTAGTTATAAATCATGCCTGTGAGACATTTGAAAGGACACCTTACTTAAATATAGGAAATCCTGCTTGTGCAGATTCACACAGTACCTGCTAACTATGTCATTGCTGGCATCCGGTTAGCTTCCAGGTACAATACAACGTGATTCTGTGCCCAGAAATGAGCTCAAATCCATGGGTGGGGAACTTGGGACTCTCCAGATGTTGCTGGAATACAACTCCTGTAAGCCCCTGGTTGGGGCTGTTGCGAGCTTGAGTTCAACCACATCTGGAGAGCTCCCCACACCGGACTTATATGGTCTGGTCTAGAGCAGAGGTCTTCTGCCTGTAGGAACAGATCCCTTTGCTGCTTCACTAGTACCACCTATGGTAAACAGTAGATCCCATATTGCAATTTTAGTTTAAAAATTAATACATGTTTGGCCTAAGTGTCATTCCCAGTCTACTGGTAGGGAGTATCTTATTTTACTTTATCAAAATGTACATACTACTCGATTGTATAAAACCCTCTAAGTGGGCTCAGGGATTGCCTTTTTTTGTACAAAGCTCACTGGTGAGATCCTGCTCCTGGGCTCTTGGCTTCCTGTGACTATGAAGCTGACACTCTGTCCCTGTCAGCCTTGTACTTAAGGTCTTCCAATGAGAGCCTGCTCCAAAATCCAACTTACGGGGAAGCTAACTTCACCAGGAAGAGGCCCTGCTAATACTTAAGATTTTTAAAATAAATAAGTGTATTTATTTGCTGCCATCTCACAGAACATCAGGGCAGTGTACAGCAACTGAAAAAACCCCCTCTAAAAGTGGAATGGACTCCCTCTGGAAGTTGCGGACTCTTCTTCCTAGGAAGTTTTTAAGCCGAGGTCATCCGTCATGGATGCTTAATTGATATTCCTGCACTGCAGGGGGTTGGAGCAGGTGACCCTGGAGCTTCCTTCCAACTTTACAATTCTCTGATTCCATGAAAAGTAATTTTTATTTTATTTCACAACACTGATATACCGCTTGGCTCTAAAAGCCCTGATGCCCTGGAATTCCCTTCCAAGAGGAGTTGGCTAAACCTGTAGCCTTTCAGATGCTGCTGGCCTACAAACTCCCATCAGCTCAGCCAGCCTGACAACTGGGAGGGCTGCAGGTTAGCCACCCCTGCCATGCAGCCTCCTCCATGCTGTCTTTCAGGAAACGTTTTAAAAATTTGGAAACTCGGATTCTGCCTTGCTCCTGCTATGATATACTGTGATGTGC